ACCCTGGCTCGACATTAGCCGCGAGACTACTCCATCAAGCGCGCCAGACGATACGACTGCGCGCCCGTTGGAGGCTCACCCCCTCGACTCCTTCGTCCTCGTCTCCCACGGGAGAGCAGTGGTCATTTCTACCTAGTCCCGCGTCCGAGACTTACACTGTAAAAATGACCGTCTCTCGCTTCGCTCATCGTGGAAAGGACTGCGAAGCCGTAAAAATAATTAACCGACTGTTAGAAACAAGATGTTAGCATCTACCCGTTCTCAGCCATAAAAAATTTCTTTTAATTGATTATTAAATTCAGATTGTAATATAAAATCTCCTCTTGTATTATTTTAATAACTTTGCACTTTTAAACATTTGGAGATCGAGACATTATATAGTTTGCAATTTTGAGGCAAGAGTATAAGGCCGCCACGATATTCTCGAATTATGCTGCCGGGAGCAGTAAATAAGGCGCGGCACGCTGTCCCTTTTTCCCTTTCAACGCGTAAACACGAAGCGTTGCCACGTACACGGGCATTAGAGGTAAGGCGGATCCATGCAGATTCCGAGAACGCATATAATTAAGCACGATGCGTCTTGCTGCGAACTCGCGTATGCACGTGCATGCGGAACGATATCTTTGTGTGGCGTGCGCGCAAACGCTCTTACGTGTACCTTGTACAGTGGTGAGTAAATATATGCCTAGACTTTCATCGATAGGATCTGCCATCCTCACCAACTTTCATTTGTTCATTCTGGAACCAATATACTCTTTCTCTTTTCCTCTTTCTCTCTCTCTCTCTCTCTCTCTCTCTCTTTCTCTCTCTCTGAATAATTTAAAAAAATATATGTTTAGAGAAAAAATTTGTTTTTAACTAAATTTCTGTGATTAGAATTCTATGATTCTATGATTAGAAGTTTATGCATGTATAAAATGAAATATTAAAGAATGTAGAAGTTTTCCGGGACGATCCTGATTTCTTATGCGCGCTTTGCGGTGATCTATAGATCGGACTTGTCCACCGAACCGGTCAACGCGTGTACGTTTCCTCTTTCCTTCGTATGCTTACTTTATTATCGGAGCTCAAATGAGAATTTATGCAGACATAAACGCTCGTGTCAGCAACGCGTTCCGCGTAGGTGGGGAGACACCGTTGAACAGGCATCTATCACTGGACAGAAGGTCAGCCGGCCTGCGAGTTCTTGTCGCAGAAAGTCCTACGAGAGAAATGTCGACACCGTAGTAAAGTGTACTTCATTCGCGAAAGAGTCACTCGGTTTGGTGATATATGTTTGTTGAATTTCTCTGGCGACAGTTCGCGAGTAATCAAAAAATTTCCAACTAAATATCAAAATATTACTTTTGTTTATGTTCATAAAAATTATAATTGTAAACAATCACAAAAGTAGTAATTGAATATTGGTTATACGTACAAAATTGTTGTGTTTAAATATTAATTTATACAATCCACGGATGGAGAGTAAAAGCGTCGCGCGAAACTGCAATAACGAGCTAAAAAACCGACGTGTATTTTCATTGTTACGTCTTTCCGACGATATTATTATCGAGATGTCCTTCGACGCGAAAGATGCACAAACGATCAAGCCTGGTAAAACACATACGGGATAACAAACGACCGCGATGATTTTATCCCGTGTCACCACACCGAATTTAAAGTAGGCAACGCGCGACTTTGCCAATCTGAATAAAGGAAATAATGCGCTCGATACGGCGAAGCGTGGGCTCTAGATCGTTTTCCCTCTTATATATATAGACCATCGTAAATAAATGAAATCTACGAGAAGATACCATGGCAGAAAGGCGCTCGCATAAATAGGCCGTTTTGTATCAAAAAAATGCGTGTATTTTTCCCACTCACAATTCACACTTTTACAATTGCAATTTCAGGAAAGACGTGTATTATATACCAATACATGTGATATAACGTCCCGTTCGATTTTTGTTCCTGCAAACATTTTGCAATTGACAACGTATTTTAGTTAAGATGAAATCGACGATGGACACTTGTGACCGTTCCTTTGTGAGTCCAAGAAGAAGAAGCCTCGAGACGCGGTAAACGTACATCGATGATGAACGATCTGCTTGAATTAGACATGAAGAATGCCGCGGTATTTTTCACCGTCGACGTTCCAACACTTTAAATTCCCAGAGCGGATCGACTCCGTGGCGTTTACGTAGATTAACGCGGAAGTCCCCATCACCACAAATCATTATTAGCATATTATCGGCGACACTTATCAGGGCGCCGCGCGAAGTTCTACCCTCTCAAATAAGACCCCGCTCATAAATCAGAAAGTGTCTTTCCTCGACTCGGTGATATTTCATTTGTTAACAGGTATATAATTACATCCGACAACGCGCTAAGTCTTTCCGATCAAACATTTTTACGCTCGATGAAAATATACGCGCACAAAGAGAGATGAGAGGTGAGTCTTTCTGCTCAATAGCAATGTCATAAACAAGTCGGATTGTCACCAATCAATACATGATAAATACTTGATGAGAAGTACATGATAAATATTTGCCTAATGTTTAATCTAATAGATTGCTTCTCGTAATCACGACTCGTGCGTTTCACAAAATAACATTGTTCTACTTACCTTACAAATGTATGTACATGCTAAATGTATGTTGTTGGTTAAAAGTACAGTTCAAGTATATATATTACCTTTAGCATGTAGACCGTATGATAAATTGTTCAAATAAAACATTGATATTCCCACAATATTTTATCGAGCTTTAGAAGCATCGATGCACGTCCTATCGACAGAGCGACAATAACAGAATCACACGCGTACAATAGTGATGCGCATCGTTCATCGAATACGCTTGGAATAATTAAAAACGCGAGTTTTGATCTACCGCGCATTTCGAGTGGCGAGATCTCGCGCTTATAAAAGAACTTAATCGATATTTATCATTAATTACGGCGACGGATCCGCACAGATTTATCGTGCGCTTCGCGGCTGTATTTCACCGCTCGACCGCCGTATATTTCGAAGGAAATTTTTCCACTTTTTTTCAGTTATCCGCTCAATATCAGCGCAGACATAAAATGTATCATCACCGCTCGAAACGGAAGGAACGCTACCGCCATCACGCATCCGAAAATTAATCGGCGTGGGCGCAGCCGATAACGAATGGTGTTCCCGCCAAACGGCCAGTATATTTTACTTTGCTCTCCAGTGTCTGTTATTTTGCGCGCATTCTGGCTGTCCACCCGGCACGATTTACTCGCCGGTCTCGATCGAAGAATTTTCGAGTCGCGCGCGCGCGCGAGGCCGGACAAATATCCATGAATCCATTAAAAAATTGCTGCTTGTCGCGCGCTCGCGCATGATGATGACGGTTCCTTCCTTCGTTGAAACTCGCGATTTTCAATATGAGATTCTTCAATTATTGACAAACTAATGTCGCTTTGTAATTTAATCGTGAATTATCGATTAATTACTTTATAAATTTACTTTTACCTTAAAGGTTTCTTTGTATCTTCTTACGTCGCGTTGTTTTTCTTGCACTTCCCAGTTTATTTCTGCCCCTTGTGCATCTTTACCCGGTAAGTCGACCTGTTCATCGAGTTGCGAGATACAGGCGCATTATAATATACACATATACGTGTGTGTGTAATTTAAATTAATATTTTTAAAAATATAAACAGCTATTTTTTCTTTCTAACGCTTGGTTTAGATCGGTGTAACATTGTTGGCAAAAAAGTGAGATAAAATGTGTTGTCACACATAAGTAACAACAATGTTGAGTCAGATCTAAACGTGGCTTAATGTATACGTAAAAAAATGAAGTTATCCATCTATCTGTGATAACAAACAAGTATAGTAGCGAAGAGAGAAGTTGACGTATATACTATCATTATAATATCAATAACTTATTATAGTTTTTATTAAATTATTTGTGACTTTATGGATAAATTTCTTTCTAATAAGTATACAAAATATTAATGTTATAATAAATAGTTTTGTAAAAAAATCTTATTAATCTTTTTTAAAACTCTCTTCGGTGAAGAAATTATTACATAATACACGACATGTGTTTCTTACTCTCTTATTCCAGTAGATACTGCAAGTTCAATTTTTTTGTAATCTTTTTTTTTTTTGAACACGTCATTTTGCTCCAAAGCGAACGTATGTACAAAGAGACATCGGTTCGATGCCCTAAAACAACCGACGCTATGAGTGGGAGGGAAAAAGAGAAAAATTCTCTCATCTCTTGCTCCATTCGTTCTATCCAGTCCTTCTATCGGTTTGCTGCTGCATTTCTGGATCGGCGCAGGCGGGCACATGGCGCTGGCGTCACCTCGATGCGGCGTCGCCTTCCGCCATCTTTCATTTGTGAAGTCTGTTGTGTTGTAACGACGAGCCATCGTCGAAGCGAGTGCTGACAGTGCTGTCATATAGGAAACCAGGATTCGGTAGTAACCGAATCGAGCCGCGGAATCGCGTCGTAACACGGTAAGTTGTCTACCGTGATCGCACGCCGTGAAATCCTGCAGCTTGCTTCGGACAGAAAGATCGCAAGTGTTTACACTGGGTGGGTCAAAGTTATTCGTGCGCGCTTTGAAAGGAATTTACAACATCCGGCTGAACATCGCATCACTTTGTATACGGGCAAGGACGTCTTTATTCAAACTCCGTGAAAGAATCTTGACTTCAGCGTCGTTCCAGTTTCGCTAGACGAGAGTGAAATGTTTAAAAGAGTTCACTTTTAACTCTAGATTCCGAGTCGATTACTGGACACGACATGCGCATCGATGTCGGCTAATCTCCGTGTGAGATGAATTATTTTGGATATAATGTTCAACTTCGACAAGTTTTCGTTCTACATTTCATCTTTGTCTGACAGCCAGTCTTTTATCGATACATTGCATCTTCCTTCTCTGTTCCTCGTTACTTTGTTATATCTGTCTTACTCTCTTTCTCCTTCATGTATGCTGCACGCATACATGACAAATGCCTCTCCCTTCGCTGCTCTGATCCGCTCCCCTCCCTTTCCCATGCAGTTCCATCGATTGTCAGAAAATGGTGATACATCGCATTTCTCGGAGCTTAGCAATATCGAGGAGACGCGCTTCGGCGTCTTTCTTTACTCACGTTGTCTAAGAGAAGAGCCCCGTCTTGGAGTATCCGCTTCGGCGTGATTGATGAGTGCAACGGCACGACGTGCCAAGAAATGCCGTTGATCGCGGCCGGCCACGCGACACCCACAATCCCGTGAGAGTGAGAGCGAGAGAGAAGGAAGAAAGAGAAAGAAAAATTAATCTTCGATCGCACCCACATTCCACACGAGTGCATCTTTCCGCGTTGAAATGTACTAACTCACTATAGTATCACACGTTTTCGTATTGTTGCGAACGTGTTGGTATGTGCAAATAAATTGCAAGTGTGACACTTTTAAATTTATTTCTATTATTTAGAGAGCTTGTGAGTGATTTATTTCTACTTTGCAGACCAAATGAATAGAAGACGCATCTCATGTCTAATTTTTTTGCATTGTTCCAAGTATTATTTTCTTTTGCATAACTGAAATAATTGAGGAGGGTGTTGAGACTGACAGATCTTGGCAAAGTATATGTGTTGAGAAGCTTATGAAGCTTTGTTTTATTTATTGCAGGTGTGAAAAGGCTCATTTATCGGAGACATGAGTTACCCAATGCCAACAAATCAGTCCAGAACGAGTGAGTTGCAGTATAGTTTTTCATTTTAAGTACATATGGAATTAGATTGTTACTTTATTTTGGATTTCAGTGTCACAAGGAAATTATCAGGGCCCGGGTGACTTACCCATGGGCTCTGCTACAGAGCAAACACTGATGTGGCAGCAAAACTCCTATATGAATGATTCAGGAATACATTCTGGTGCTGTCACTCAAGCACCATCTCTATCCGGCAAAGAAGATGAAGAGATGGAAGGGGATCAATTGATGTTTGATCTAGACCAAGGATTTACACAGGACCAAGTCGATGGTACTGTACTACATCATTATTATGTTAGATAGTAACACTACAAGTGTGAACACTAAGTTAACATTATATTAAGTTTCAGAAATAAATCATCAACTGAGCCATACCAGGTCACAGCGTGTACGTGCGGCTATGTTTCCTGAAACTCTTGAAGAAGGTGTGGAAATTCCTTCAACACAGTTTTCGGCACAACCCACCGCCGTACAAAGATTGGCCGAACCAAGCCAGATGCTCAAACATGCTGTCGTTAATTTGATCAATTATCAGGATGACGCTGACCTAGCCACTCGAGCTATTCCAGAATTAATAAAGCTTTTAAATGACGAAGATCAAGTAGTAGTATCTCAAGCAGCTATGATGGTACATCAGTTATCGAAGAAAGAAGCTTCTCGTCACGCTATTATGAACAGCTCGCAAATGGTGGCTGCTTTAGTGCGCGCTATTTCCAATAGCGATGACTTGGAGTCAACAAAAGCTGCCGTTGGAACTCTCCACAACTTATCTCATCATAGACAGGGACTTTTGGCAATTTTCAAAAGTGGAGGCATTCCAGCACTCGTCAAATTGTTAAGCTCTCCAGTTGAAGCTATATTATTTTATGGTATAACTACATTGCACAATCTCTTATTGCATCAAGACGGTTCAAAGATGGCCGTGCGTCTTGCCGGTGGTTTACAAAAAATGGTGGCTCTGCTTCAACGAAATAACGTCAAATTTTTGGCTATCGTCACGGATTGTTTACAGATTTTGGCATACGGAAATCAAGAGAGCAAACTAATAATTCTTGCTTCACAAGGACCGATAGAACTAGTACGCATTATGCGTTCTTACGAATACGAGAAGCTATTATGGACCACTTCAAGAGTGTTGAAAGGTAAGGACAAAATTTAAAGACAAAAGGTGAAGTCAAAATTAAAATATTTTGCATGCGAAACATTTGAGAACTATGATAGTAATAAAAATTGTATCAATAAAATAATGTAAATAAATGATTTGTATATTTTGTTTTTAGTGTTATCTGTATGTGCAAGCAACAAACCAGCTATTGTGGAGGCGGGTGGTATGCAAGCACTTGCTATGCATCTTGCAAATCCGAGTTCAAGATTAGTGCAGAATTGTTTGTGGACACTTCGTAACTTATCAGATGCTGGCACAAAGGTTGATGGACTTGACAACTTGTTGCAGAGCCTCGTACTTGTGCTCGGCTCGACAGACGTAAACGTTGTTACGTGTGCAGCTGGCATTTTGTCAAACTTGACTTGTAACAATCAACGTAATAAAGTACGTCAAAATGAACGTATCTGTTTTAATTTACTATCTGGCAGAAAGCAAAAATTTTTAAATTTTTTTTCAGGTTGCAGTATGTAATTATGGCGGCGTGGACGCTCTAGTACGGACCATCATCAATGCCGGCGATCGAGAAGAAATAACCGAACCGGCAGTATGCGCCTTACGTCACTTGACGTCGCGTCACAGTGAAGCAGAAATGGCACAGAATTCTGTTCGGGCAAATTATGGCATTCAAGTTATAGTCAAATTACTTCATCCACCGTCGCGTTGGCCTTTGGTGAAGGCTGTTATCGGATTAATCCGCAATTTGGCTCTTTGTCCTGCAAATCACAGCCCATTACGCGATCATGGCGCAATACATCATCTTGTGAAACTTCTAATGCGCGCATTCCAAGACACGCAACGAGTGAGTAACAATGAAAGAAAAATATTTTTTTCGCTTAGTTTGTCAATACAATTTTGTAAGCATTTACATACGTGTATTTATACTTTTTGTTCGCAGCAACGGTCATCTGTTGCTAGTATCGGCAGCCAACAGACATCGGGCGCATATGCAGATGGAGTACGCATGGAAGAGATAGTGGAGGGTTCAGTGGGAGCTCTTCATATTTTGGCCAGAGAATCCCACAATAGAGCAATTATTCGGGCACAGAACGTGATTCCAATTTTCGTACAGGTACATATTTTCTCGAATATAACTTTGTAAATATGCATATATATTGTTCCTTTTTTCAAAAAAGAATTTAATATAACCGTCTACTTAATGTCCTAATTTTTTCACAGTTACTATTTAACGAGATTGAAAATATACAGCGTGTAGCAGCTGGCGTACTTTGCGAACTTGCGGCCGACAAGGAAGGCGCTGAAATCATAGAACAAGAAGGCGCCACCGCTCCGCTGACAGAATTGCTTCACTCTAGAAATGAAGGCGTCGCTACTTACGCGGCGGCAGTTCTGTTTCGTATGAGCGAAGATAAGCCGCAAGAGTACAAAAAACGACTTTCCATGGAACTAACGAATTCCTTATTCCGCGAAGACACGAACTTGTGGAACAACGCTGATTTCAGCATGCCACCAGATCTTCAGGTATCCTAAAAACACAGTCGATATATTTAATGCACTAATATATCTTTCCATGCCGTGGCGAAATAGATTTACTTGCAAACACTATGTAACATAGCACAAGATTTCATTTTATGTAACTAGATCAAAGGTTTCGTCTTTATTGTCGGTTCTTTCTCTCCAGGTCAGATCAGGTTAGTAATGTGTCATAAATGGAAATATTTTTTCCTATCGTAGCGTAAAAGTAAACACGCTAAACATTTATAGGTTACATTGTGTTCGGTAAATTTGTGCCACGTTTTGAAATAAATATTTCTTATTGGTCGTACACAGACATCCCCTTTCTAGTTATAATTCCAGGTATTTATATACAAGGTTGTTTTCCCCGCGTGTAAATTTAATCTCACGCACACAGCTGTTTATAAGCCACATATACAATTATTTCAAAGTGCACCACTATGAAAAGGCATCTGCAGTATTAGTTTGTGTTTCACACAGTTTTCGTTGTTTATCAAAGTTTTGCGCTTTAGACTTTTTGTCATTTACATTTAATGGAAATTGTAGAGATATGTGCTAATGGGCAGTTGTGCTTATCTCGCGTAAAAATGCACCTTATAATACATTGTTATTTATATTAACTTTTATGCGCATACATAACTGAATTTGAAATAATCTCATGCTTAAGCTTTATAACAAACTTTACGTTCGAAGTTTTAATATTTTCATGATACGAATTTATATATCAATATATTTATTAAATAAAACTCGAAGCATTAAAGAAGAAGCAACAGAGTCGTATGGAGTAATGGATCACGAGGCGTACTTAGATACAATTTTAATCTTTTTTTGACAGTTTGCAAGATTATAATGTGCATGAGAATGTCCCTTTTTGCCCCTTCTGCAGATGTTTACTCTAAATTTTTTTTTGTCAGTATTATTTTTTGCGCAATTCCCTTTTTATTATTGTACTAGACTAAATATAGCGCGTATTTCCGCCATGTATCTCGGGCTGTTATGACACGCGTTCCCTTAGAAAATATGCTTTGTTTTGATCTGTGCAACCTACTCTTCAGGACGTGCTTAGTGCCGAGCAGGGCTATGACGGTATGTATGGCCAAGGACCTCCTAGTGTACACAGCAGCCATGGCGGCCGGGGTTATCAACAACAAGGTAATTTATAAATGTTACCTACTTCGTTCATCGCGCGAATGCTGCTTTCGAACAATCGACTTGCTACTCGATTGGGGAATAGACGGAATTGTATAGGATCACAAAAATGAATATCACTCTCTATCCATAAAATGTGTACACGTGTAAATGTTTTGTACATATAATTTAATGACAAGCAATATAAAAAAAATACAAGGAAGCTCAATAAATTCATCTTTCTCTTCGATGTTCTTCTAATAATGCATTTAATTGTATGTTATTTTAACAGCAGCTTAACCCATGGACTTAAATTAAAATACAGGCTATCAACAGTATCTCGCAGTAACATAGGTGACACTTGATTTATGTCTTGTTCGTGTTTTCGTTATCTGATTGACGATCTACTTGACAGTCGATTTCAACTGCATGTTCACTGTTATATTTCATGAGTCAGTTTTTTTATGCATAATGTATGCGTAGAGAGCCAACAATATTACAGTCTAAGTCACCTAATACGCGCTTGTATATTTTTTTACTCTTTTTTGCATGCATGTATTTACTTCTCTGTCTCTTTCTTCCGATATGCGCTTTATGGTGGAGGAGTCACATAGAAGAATTATATTTGTAAGTAATTAAAACTAAGAATTTTCCAATGCAATGTTTTTCTCCAAAAGGAAGTATTGTATAAAAATAGTTATAAATTTCTTGTTTTTCATAATTAAAATTTAAGAGACTTTTATAATTAAAAAAGTTAACTTGTATATGGGATTGCACGAAAATTCTAAGAAAATATTCTGTGTTTCACCATATCTGTGAGAGATCACAATATTGTTAGTAAATTTTAAGTGATTTTTATCTCGCGCATACTAAATAATGGTTATCTTTCTGTTAGGCAAACAATATTTTTTAGGAACAAATATATTTTATAAACAAACTAATAACATCATTAAGAGTAATAAATAAATTAATGTTACAAGGTTCTATCACAGTAATTAGTTACGATATATCATTAGAAAAAATGTAATCACTTTGATGACGTGTAGCAAACTCTGTCTTGTAACGCTAAAATACTGCCACATACTTCACTAGTTCTGCTTCAGTAATTAATAAAATTCTGCGCTTCGTGTGCAGTATAATGTTTTGTATCGATGTAATTACTGCCTCAGCGATATGTAATATAGCTTTTTTTAAGATACACGAAATATGTTTTTTTTCCGTATAACAGGTTATGACCAGATACCAGTAGATTCAATGCAAGGGTTGGAGATAGGTGGTGGGTCAACATACGGTGCAATGGACACTATGGACGTGGCACACGAAGGTGATTTAAGTTTCAATCATTTGGGAGAGCTTCCTGCACCGCCGGGAGGCAACAATCAGGTTGCGGCCTGGTACGACACCGATCTCTGAGTCCGTGCCATCATATTGTTTTAAAATATCATACGGATTTACAGTATAACTTCGATTATTTAAATAGTATTATCATTCTACAAAAATTAAATAATGCTCAACTTTATTCGAACAATATACACAGTGTAAGCAAACAAGGAAGCAATGCTTATTGCTATTCTTGTTGCAAATCTGCAGCTTGTTTTTTTTTTATAGATCTTCTATGTCTTTGAGTATTCGACCAAACTATTATTGCATTTGCATACACAATTGATTTACAGACGACGTAGAAGTTCCATAATTATCTAAAAGCTGCCAGTTGAGTACAAAACTTTGTATTTGAACATTTGATGAAATAAAGTTCGAAGGTTTGAATAATCGATAGTTTACTGTATTTATAAAAAACTCATTTCTTCAAACACATGAAATACTTTAGCGATCGAGGATTAGCGCGTCGCGAAACATCGTCTTTGCATATAAAAGATTGTTTTAGTCGCGCTATAGTTGTCAGCTTCCTGTAGTCCACGTTCGTTTCGTCGAACAGAAAACATGAAACATTCGCTAATCCATATCAACCCAAGAAAATATGTATGTAATCGCCTAACATAATTATTCACCCGAACATATATATATATATATATATGTATACATTATATTGATGTATTAGAATTAAGAAAAACACATGTAATTCGTACACACAAGTATTATGTATCGTTTACTTGTCCATAAAAATAAACTGAACGAATAACCGATAAGTACTACTTGCATTACTTACGCATAAAGTTCCTACTATACACACTGCATCATTCTTTTCTATTACGCCACCTTCTCAACTCAGCACTATATAAACGGAACACCCGATAAAGAGCATCTTAAACATTTTTTAATTCTGATAAAGTAAACTGAAATGTTTATGAAACACCGAATATGAAAATCATTCGTTTTAATAAGTACACAAAAATTATATATATATATTTTTAAATAAACTTTATATTGCATATAAATCTCAGACAAGAAATTTACTTAGTTTTCAAAAGAAACATTAAAATAATTTATATATATCTTAAATTATACATAAAGAAATGTTAATTTTATCAAATACTGAAATGTGATTGTATTATGAACAATTATACGCAGTGTTGACCAACAAATATTGAAATATCCACGTGTTGATATTAATATTTTAAAAGAAGAAAATAGTGACTTTCACTTGCCATATTCAGTGATTTCGAGGTAAGACGTTACACGGCGTCGACACGCACAATTTGTCGCGGGGCATAATCCTTCGTTCCCTCTTCCGAAGAGAAGGGTGCCGCGTACGGCACCGTCAGGTCATCAATCGCTGGTCGACTCTCGCGCGGAGCACAATTCTCACGTTAACGGTTGTTTCTTAAGTCTTCTGTGTGTGACACGAACAAGACTCTTGAGTTTATTTCTTGGAGTGTGGAAAACGTGTTAAACATTGAATCGCTGGTTAAGACAATTATTTCTGAACATCTGTCGTTGAGGGTAGCCGTTATCCAAACGTGGATAGTGTTTTACATTCATGAAAAACTTAATTACCGTAAAACGTCTTGGAAAAACGTCTTGACTAAATACACAAGAAATATCTTTTTTAAGAAAATTATCTTTTTTTAAAAAATAAAATTTGTGTTTTTACGAAAGAAATGAGAATGAAGGTTTTTGAAGGACTGAAGAACTTTCTTTAGTAAACAGGTAAGTCTAAAAATAGAGGTTCGTTATCTGATGTCTGTTATATTCCTTTAGGGTTCCTTCCACTCATCTTTCCACATTCTTTGTCACGGGAATGGTTTTGTGACTTACAAAAGAACCAACATTTCTTTTTTTTCTCTTTTCTTTTAAAACAATATCATTATCAATGACCTAAAAATAACTCGTTTTTATTTCAACAATATTTGTCATAGTGGGTGGTTTTTTTACGCCTAATTTAACACTTCGATATGTTATCTGGACAACGAGAAACACGCATATATTAAGTTCATTGAATTCAAAACTTGTCCTGTTACCCTTGAAAATACAGCAAGATGTATTAATAAAATGTTGATATTTAAAAGAAAAAGAGAGAAGGAATGGAAAGAGAAATATTTTTCTGACAAAAACAAGACTAGTTTTCTTTTCGAGCACAACAAACGCGCTGTTGACTAAGAAATTCACCTGTTTTGTGACTTTTCATCAGTACATGTTTAAAAAAATATTCTATTAAAATATGTAAAGTTTATTAAATATATGAGCAAGAATTTTTGGAAAAGAAATTGAAAGTTTTTCAACAGATTATCAAGAGATGCAATATCCAGTAGATATCCATTGGAATATCGTGTGCTGTACGATGTTTGTAGTTAGAGAATCAGTTAGATTCGAAAGAGTATCTTGCTTAAATACGTGCCTCTGCACATATATGTCAGGACATCAGCGATAATGACGTGAAAGTGCATCTACAACACCGCTCCAGAACAATCTTACGTCGCGCCTCGCTTGAGATCGTGGGAGTAAATTGCTGCGAAGTCTCTGGTCGATCAGCAGGCCGATCCTGTTGCGACATCGTTACTTGTCTCTTTAAATGTCTCAGAGGAACACCTGTTCGAGATTCGCCGTTATATTTCCGACACATCAAAAGTTACAAATGCCGTTTGTAACGCCCGCGGCGTACGATTAACAGGAACAAGTTGATGAAAAAGAGGATACGACGTATTCAGTTTTTAGTTTATTTATTATTATATATTCAAGTATATTTAGTTTTAATTATAATTTAACAAATACTTTTCGAGTGACTGAGAAACCATTGATGAATGGTTAAAGCCAATTTTAATTCTTTTGAAAAGAAGAAATAAACAGAAACACAAGTAAAGAAATACAGAATAAAAAAAAAACTGAAGATGAAATTAAAAAGCGAAGAATCGGAAGCTGAAAGAGGAATGCAACGGAGAACAGAAGGAAGAAATGGGCGAGAGACACGGGAAAAGATGAGGGAGAGCCAGAGAGAGAGATGAGAGACAGGCGTCCTTGCTCCGGACTAGTCTGTAACTGTGCCCTCGTGAGCACGGGCGCCGTGGAGAACCGGTAATGACGTGAAAGTGCATCCACGAGCGAGGAGGCAGGCGCGCGAGCATGCAGGCAAAGCCACCGTTCTCCTAGCAGTCTCTCCTCGTCCAGGACAATCCCCTGGAATTGTGGCCGACCGCGGCTGGAGAAATTGTCTGCCTCGACGATCTAAGTGTTCGCCTGACCGAGGCGGCGAACGTCTCGACCGTTTCAGTCGCCTCCTTTCCTCGGTTGCGTTTTCGCACCTGCGTTTCAGACACGCGAGAACTTAGATCGGTGATATATCTTCGAGCAGTTGTCCGTGCAAAGTGATTTCAGCGGAAATTTATGAGAAACGCAGTGCATTTTTGGATCTACTGGAATTCCATGTGCGTAACGCTTTGACAATTTAGGTGCCAGAATGAAAGAGAACCAATTTGTCACTACACGTTATTTATTTTCTCTAAGTTTCATAATAAGAAAATACATTACATAAACGTTACATGTTTAAATTAGCGTTTATGTCATATAGAATCTTCTAGGTTTTACATAAACGTTTATGTCAGGTTGGGTATGATGATTGGGTAGGCGCTGATATGATAAAAAATAAAAAATTAACAGCACACAATTTTGTTATTTATTTATTTATTACATTTTTTTGATTTCGGAATCATAAAGTATTTAGTTCTCACATTAGTACGCAAAAAACAACGCTTTGTGTGAGAAAGCGGAAGTTTTTAACGGCGCTAAAACTGATCATATTATTTACGCGTTTCCTTCACAATAGACACGGTCGACGTATTCATTAAAAAAAATAGCCGATCTGTAACGCTTCCTGGAAATCAATTGCACCAGCCGCTTTTAAATGTTTCTTCTTTACAGAATTGCTACCGGGAGACGCTGGTAACTCCGATAATATCGAAAGATAAAACTACAGGAAATGCATCTTGTACCAATATCCAAGTTTGCAGTTCTCGGATACCGGAAATAGCCGCACAGCAAAATAGTCGCTTCCGAGAAAACATCCAGCATCCAGAGACGATCGTCGATAATACGCGCGTTCCCGAGAGAACAAGACGAAAATGATACTCGCGACTCCTCGAACCAGCCAAGTTCTGAAGGAGTGCTGACGAAGCCGCGAGTGCAAGTCGCAGGCAGAAAAATGACCGTCGCGATGGAGCACAAGCGGAAGAGTTCGTGGGACTCGAAGGTGAGATTCGACGAATACGTATACGTGACGCACTTTCCCTTCGTGATACGTACACGCATATGCTTTCTTCTTCGTTATCCCGTCGCGTCGTTAATTAATGAGCGAGTCCTAATGTGAGCGAAAACGTGCGAAAACATCGCGACTCGGAGTCAGAAATCGAATGAAAATGCAAAGTGCTGGATATAGTATGAATCACGCGTGGAAGAAAGAACGTATTGTTTTGTTGCGGCGAAGATATGAATAACGGAGAGCATCGTGTGTGCTCGAGGCACTTTCCACTTTTGCGGAATTGATTATCAAGCCTTCGAGTATTCTATTTCAAATTCAAATAGATTTCAGATCAAAGAGTTCAAAAAATCTACGTTGGATGCTTTATTTGCATATTTTATTTATGAAAAACCTCTTTACTTCTCTGCATTTAATTTAAAAAAATAATTGCAAAAAATACCTTAGATAAAAGTTTCTTTGTTTTGAGCTTAAAGGTTGGTTAATCATATACCGGCATCCTTTCAGTTTTATTACAAATCTTGTGCGAGCAGAGAACATGAAATGGCGTACTGTAGTCTTATTGCTCAGTGTATAGCGTTGTTTTCGTCCCGTGGTTGGTGTTTTATAGACTTCGCAGACAATCATTGTAGAATAAGATACCCGTCTCTTCAGCTATTATCTAGAAATGATCGTGGACGCTGCAGACGGTGGAACAATTGCGGGATGAAAATAATCGCTCCCATAACTCGTTGCATTCAAGCTGACATTTGATGGAACATATCACTCATGGCGCGAGAAAGCGCCCACAATTCTGATTAATTTAATTAACTTTCGCGTGATATTACAATGTTTTTTTTTCGCTCGTGAAATTGAACGGAGTTATAATTCTGTTATTCTAGAAGAGACCGTTTTCAGCCAGAGTGAGTTGATTGTTCGAATGAATTAACTGCACAGTAACTTCGGTGAAAGTCGCGCGTGTTGATGTACTCGCGCCTCTCCGTCCTTCGATTAATTTCTTTGATCAATTTTCTTGCACTATAACGGCGATGTGTGTAGAAAGGTCAACGAAAGGCCAACGGGATTGTTGCGAGAAAGTAATAATAACCTTGAACTTATGCAAGTATTTGGCACAATTATTTGGCAGATATGTATGTTCTATCTTATTCTACTATTGAGTAAATGTAAAAGTTTCGATAGATTTTATATGATAAAAAATTTTATTAAAAACACAATTTATTTATTCTACCGATGGGATTTTTGCAAGTTCAATATTTATTTTCATTATAATATACGTACTATACATGCTGTGTTAGTGAACACAAGAAATCCCTAAAAAATCCAGACGTATCGTGGTTTGACATGGAACTGATCTGCACTGACTTTAAATTCAGCGCTGCGTGCGAGAACGAGTGAAATGCGAGACGCATCGAGACGCCTTCGCGGGTTGCATGTTGCAAACCGACACCGTACAGATTATTTTTGCGGTCATGTTTGTTACCGCTGTGCTAAATTATCATAGACGCGCTGTCCTTCACTAACGATAAATTATGCGAAACCGTCGCGTATGGCAAAGTTGTCAAACGACCAAGTGTATAAAACAAGTTAAATGAGTCATAGATTACTCGAAAGACGAAGATGTGTCCAACTTTGTATTTTCCATTATGTTTTTTTAAATATGTATTTTACACTTTTTTACAAAAATAATAAGATTGATGACAGTAATAACATTTCTAAAACCTCACTAGATAATCCAACGCGAAAACGCTGACACATTACTCGTTTCAATGATTCACCTCCCGTACAGAAAACGGAGAAATTTCCGTGTACTAAATAATTGTGGAGATTTAATTAAAGAGAAAATTAATTTGCCAGATATCTTCGTCGATGTTGCTAATTAAAAGGGATTAACATAAGTGCGAGCACGTTTATACGCGAGTAACTGTGTCGCGCTGCCTGATCTTTCTCTCTCTTTCTCGTCGCGATGCCACGAGTCTAACTTATATTCATCTGGCTTTCATCTCCAGACCGATTGACCTTGTTCTCCAATGACCCCGCGTACATACGCCACGAGTACGTACGCACTCGGCAGCGAGTTGACGATTGAGGAACTAGGCTAACCCGGGATGGAGAACGATGCGTTAGGTGGGTTGGGTCTCTTGGGTTGGGCCTGTCGTCATCTGCTCTATCTTCGATTTACCGTTAGTTTCAGAACACTCGATCGCACTTGGTACGCTTACAAATCACGCGTAACGACGCTCGTCACATCTTGTCTATCTCATGACGGTAATGCGATCTGTTTAGCCGTGATTGGATACTGAGAAGCGTCTTTTCTTAGATAATTTCTTTATCTATATCGATGCTTTTTCTTGTTATTTGTTTAATGATTGAGGATTGAGTACATTTAATGACAATTATAACATTTTTTTTTTTATTTTCTCCATTTGCTGTGACAAAGATATCAAGCTCGTAATAAATGACCATGACAAATTATAGAGATCATCTCTGTTGACTGTAGTTTTTTTGCTGAGTAATACGGCGTTCCGGGAGTGTAATATCACGTGGACGATGTGACTGAGCGCGGATTGTAATTTGATGATGCTCGGAAACTCGTTCCTAGATTCTGTTGCTCTTCTGGAAAGGTGACCCGGCGTTTGGTATAACGGTTATAACGGTCAAGGAAGTCACGAGAGAACAGTAGCTCCAATGACGTTCTATAGATTCTTTTGGCCGGTCATTGGCACTGACTCTTTTCACAGTTGACAATCGGCCAACATGTTTTCTAACGGCAACAAGAAAACGGCTAATGATGACATGTCGCTATATACGGTGCTTCAACGATTCTAACTTTTATTTACATGCAACATTTCTAAGTTGATTTTAATGCACATGTGTAATATTCAATTTTTCTAAATTAGAAATTATCAATTAAATTATTTTTTATACATTATTGTCCCGTGTGGGAAAAATAAAAAATATTGAGAAGACAATTTTCTTCAAAAAGATCTCTTTCTAAATTGACCTCATTGAAATGCACACTTTTACCTCTAACAAGTGCTTCATTATATTTTAATGATAACCGATCAACCTAAATTATCTTCCTAATCATTATGTAGAAACGCTTCTTTCCATAACGCGCATAAGTTTTTACATACATAAACACGAGATTTCTCTTCACACGCGACTTTACACGAAACAAAAATTTGACTTATCGTCTCATTACAAGCGAAGATAATCTCAGCTCTCGTTGAAAGAACAGATCGGTATCTATTTTTAACGATTATCATGCATTGCATTATTATTATTATTATTATTCGTTGTTTTTGGAGCCAGAGGCACAATTACGCGCAAGTTTGTACAGTCTTCCAAGACATTTTCTAATCGTGGAAAGCACTTTTCTATTCTAACGCGAGATCCGATTTTTCCCGGCCTTGAAGTCATTGACCGCGCCTATTAACGGAAGAACGTTAGCCAGTCCGAGCGTGTCTTAATCTCTTCCTGCAATCGCTACCGAAGCACTGCGTTTAATATCCACTTTGAATTCTACTTTCCAATCTGCTGCGTCTTAGATCGGATCAGTTCGTCTCAAGCGCGAAACGGCCCATTATCGAGATCGGCATGAAACTTACAACTGCGGTCAACCGTGGCGATCTACCTGCATTTGCATTTTCTTCTTTGTAAACTTTCTTTCCCCGAAGAATGATGATTGTCTTTATATACGCCGCCGCAAATCCATAAATAACGCGCTGACGCGCTTTCGTTGCAGTAATCATTTTGTAGGAATTTAGTTCAAGACGCGCAAGAAGGAAGTCCGCATTCGTAACCTTTATTTTACGCTACATTAGCACGGAATGTGATCGTCCAAGTTTTATTTGTCGAATTTATTGTTACACACGTGTTTATTTAATTTTTTTAAATAAAAGTTTTTCTCGAAAAAACTTTTTCTTTTAAATGTTAACATTTAATTTTTATGACACATTATTTTCGCGTCATTAATTGGATATTTCTCGAGAAAAGGTTCCTTTCTTCTCAGAGGATCGGTTCTCCTGACCTTTTCGTTTGCTTGAACTCTGGAAAAGAAGTTTGTGATACTTTTACTTGAGAAAAAGAGAGAGAGAGAGAGAGTTTATACGAAGACATTTGTTAATATTTGCTTATTTTACCAAAAAAACATTATTACATACCACACTTGATTCGCAATTGTTTTACTTGAACGTGCATTCGATACGTTGCACAAAAGTGGGTGAGACTTTGTAGCAAAAACATTGAACGCCAAACTAAGCTAAAATAGGCAAAGATACGACGCGCAAACTTTCGTTCGCCTTTCGTAATGTCTTTCGCACGATTGTTCGCTAAAGTTAGTCTTTTTTTTTACCACTATCGCAAATCTTACGTAACGATCAAACGAAATGCTTTTAACTTTACGTATAAAAACTATCGTTGTTTTATTACAGCTTATAGTATATTGTTTTTGTAAAATTATTATTTCTTTAATTTAGATATTTTAATAAAAGTAGACCGAAGTCATTAAATCATGAATCTTTTGCTAGTTTAATAACACATCTATATCCTGCAATTATTAGAGTGTATCCGTAACGCATTAAATCACGCAATTAGGTAATAGTTGCGCTTATGTATTGTACTGCGGAAGTGATTGAAAATAGACTGAGATAATATCTTGCTTAGTTAGAAGCTACGTAATACACTTTGTGTTTAAACTTGGTTCCCATATGCATGCCAATCGGCGTGAGAAAATCGGTCGAAACTCTCATGACGTTTATTGGAGTATCTACTACTATATACATATATTCGCGCGTGACATGTCTCTTCTCTCTTTTTTTTAATTATATGGTTTTGTTATAAAATGAGAAAAATTATTTTTTTACATATTCAAAAAAATTTACTATACTCGCGATATCAAATTTGACGTGTTGCATGTGTAAAATGAATCGCCCGTTTCATATTTCACAGAAATATCTCGCATTTTAGACTTTAATTCTGGACCGACCTTTGCGATCGCGCGTATCGAAGTATTACTCATCTTATTTGCAAGCGCAATCCTTCGCGCTAGAGCGTGTGCCGGGCGTAGCATTTGAAAGAACAGACGAAGGCGTAGGCATATCTCGTGGTGCTTTAATGTCTTATTGCGCGCTGAATGAACAGGAAAAGTGCATCGCGTACGCGACAAAGAACGATTACACGGACGCTTGCATACTCGCGAATTTACGAGCCGACTAAGTCGCGTGGATTCGCAGACAGACACGTACGAGCCGCAACGCGTGTCCGTCTCGCACGCAACAGCGACAATGCGTGTCGATCATGTACAAACACAATTTAGTTAATACCGTCGTTGCATAATAGAGTTTCAATTACAAAGAAAGATAGAAAATGTCGAAGTTATGATTTTTATTTTTATTTAGATAATTGTTTTTAACACTTTTTAAAGGCTGTATTTTATTTTTATTAACAAGAATTATTCCTTTTATATTGTTTATCTCAAGATGACCTAACTTGTATTAGAGAGTTTTGCACTCACGATTGAATTGCGACCGCTCGGATCGTTTTGCTTTGTCTCGGCTCTGAGACGGAAGCGATCCGATCGTTAATACTAGTCGTGCCGCAATAAGACATCACGGTAATAAGTTCTTTCCCCTTTTCTTTTAAATTGACAAAAATTTATTGATAGTACACGAGGGAGCAGAACGTTTCATCAGCGGAGTGATACCGCCCACTATTATTTACTGGATGGTTTCAGCAATCTTGCTTTCGTAACACGTTCTGCTGTTACTTTAAGACTTTCTTTCATTAGAAATAAAATATTGTCTGAAATACACGGGAAGTATATCGTGTTTTTCCAAACTTTTAACAAAAATTTAATGCAATTTTCAGTGCTGCGTTTCAGTGCTCGTTTCTAAATGAAAATTTAGAAAGTAGGTATTAAATCTATTAATATCTATTATTTTTATTATTTATTAATATATCAGAGGAGTAAAACTCTTAGATTTTAATTAGATGTTGTATATCAAGCATTGAAATCTCTGTGATAAACTTGTCAATACAAAACACGAATGCATTTTTTGCCTAGATCTCGGTGAGTACAGTGAGTACTAGAAGATTCAGTCGCGCTGGAACACCAAGCTCAATTCTGTCGTCCGATAGCGATATCCGCTTCACGAGAAAGCTCGGCGGCCAGTATCGTTGCGGATGCTGTGTCCTCGCAGCTTTCTTGTTCTTCCTGCTGTTCTCGGGTGTTTCCATTTACCTCGGCTGTAAGTACATTCTCGCTAAAACCAGCTTTCACAAGCGGTACATATAGAATAAAATATTTTAAACACGTAGTCGCGCATACTATATACTTGAAAGAGGTTTCTAAAGAAATTGTCGTTTTACAAGAAAGCGTAAGTATCAAACTAGGTTTTCTTATTATACTTACAAAGATTCTCAATATTCACGTGTTTGCGAGTTTTTTGAAAAGAGAAAGCAAGAGATACTGAAAGTCTAAAAATCATGTCAATGTCTTCTTTTTGTAATTTAAAAAGTTGGATAATAATTCACTCGACATTTCAGGTCTGTAAGTTTTTTTTTAGAAAGTAAACGTGGCGATTTAATTGGATACACATTGTAGCGATGATGAATTATTCGCGCATTATTCGAGATCTGCGTCATTGTCGATTCTGATACGTCATTGCATTAAGTTTATTAAATGCGGCATGTCGATTATCGAAACATTTTCGTCACGCGAGCGCTTCGCCGCTTTCACTTCGCCGTTCTGACGTACACTCGCGGAGGACATAAATGAAATAATTTCACGGTTAACCAGCAATCGGCGGCCTAGCAGGCATGAAATGATCCCGGCAACGCACCGTGATCGTTCGCCAGGACGCGTTTACGGTGGATGAGCGTTTCGCGGACTGTGAAGTGCGATCGCTTTGTTCGAATGAATGGCGTTTCCTTGTAAGCGCGTGCACTTCACCTTGATATCACGCTCGATGCACACACCATGTACACGCATTGCGCATCACGTCAAGCGAAATGATGCGAAGGAAGTAACTGTTATCTTGTATATACGTCACGTTACGTTAGAATCCATTACTTTTTGTTGTTACTTATTTTGAAGTTAATCAGTCGCGACTGATTAAATGTACAGACTCCTTTCGAGAGATATAGAGATCAATTCTGAAAATAATAATTCGAGTTGTATTCGAATTGAAATAAACTAAGGTAGTTAGTATATTCAAAAAATACTTCGAGTTATTTTCCTATTTTTCTTCGACTTAGAGAAGTAAAGAATTGATGAGAATTCGAGTTGTAGAAATTTTCGAGAGTAGTTCGCGATGTTCAACATTTATACACATGTATATGTTCTTTGATTGAATTTTGTAAGAATAAACATTTTTACATCTCTAACTTATCTAGGAAAAAGTTCTGTCAGGAATATACATCAGCGGTTCTTCGAGTACTCGGTAACTCGGTCAGACCGTTATACGTGCGTGCTGAAAGACCTCAATGGGCTTTGGCCGCGTCTTCTTCCTGCCTTTCATTCTCTACTCTTTTGCTTGTACGCCTCGTCCGCTCGACTTTGATCAGTAAATATATATCACGTATTCGCTGCTCATGTTTTGTTTTAGCGCGATTTATCCGGCAAATACATTGCTAAAGGCTATCGCGAGACTAAGCGACGATTTATACAGCACTTATAAACTTAACTAGTTACCGAGTAACACAGACGCACGTTGTGGCCATGCGATGTCTACGATGAACGGCGTAAACTTGGTAATTCTCATCGGCGCTTAATTCGTGTTTACGATCGAGAGGAATAAGAGGTCACGGAAGTTGTTTGCACACGAACGTGCCGATCCATTGAGGTCTTCCAGCTGTTATAACGGTCTGTCCAAGTTGCCGAGCCGACGGCTATACGCTCAGTCCATACTCGACCTTAAAGGTGGGGATTCATGTCCTTGAAACATTTTGATCCTGCACATCGTAACTATTACCTATTTTGTAAATTAGTAACAGAACAACGTGACAACTGCTTTGAAAACCGGTTTCTTGTTTCACAAAAAGGCTGAAGATCGGTTTAGTTTTATTAAAAACAATTTTTGTGTAGAAAACTCTTTGATGAAAAGAAATAAATTAAGAGAGAAGAACAATAGTTATTTGTAAGATACAGAATTTTGTCGCTTATTATATTAAGGTCAAAAAAAGTGTTTTCTATAAGCAAATCACGTCGAATCGGGACACACACACAACCGGTGAAAGGTGATTCCTAAACGAAACTCGAGATCCCTGCGGGTGGCTGCATGCTCCCGATTTGCCTCGTTTTACTTGGCGCGCGGAAAATTGACCGCGTACTGACGTTGTATAATGATAGCATAGCGCTCCGAAGAGCGAAATCCGTTTTGCTCCGGCGCGGCGCGGCACAACGTTGTTGGCACGTTCCGCACATTCAACTCTATCATTTGCCGATCATACATATATTAGAAAGCCGGTTTCTGATACGCTGAGAAATATAGTCAGACAACATGCGCGCTGTGCTATTCTAAATTTTTCTTCTCGTAGCATTTTATCTCATTTTTAATTAGTAAACTTTTTTAAATGTGTATGACATTTCGTTTTATTTTGTATCGCCGTTAAACTCCACGACGCATTTCTACGCATTTATAATCATTTGTTGATAGTAACAATCAAACAATTTTATCTTAGACACGTTTCTCACTTCGGACCCACCTGGTGATCAAGTGTTTCTCGCCACATTTCGAGTTATCAAAGGTGATTCCTTTACCGCCGAACTTGCTGATCCTTCAACCGAGGCCTTTCGGATACGGTCAAGGGAGTACCGCGATCGTCTTAATCTTATCTTCCGTCGCAGCTGGCTGAAGTTACCGTTCCTTGCGGCAGATGTTTTGGCACTCGATGGGTAACCAAATTTTATTATTACATCTCACATTGTGTTATTTTCTTTTCTAACATTTAACATTGAAACTTTGTAAATATAGATAATAGAAATAAATATATTTTTATCATAAATTTAAAAACTATATATTGCGTGATCTCACAAAAAATTGAAATACAGAAAAAAAGAAATACCTTCAAAAAAAATCTTCAAAATAAATTATGCAATAACACCTGATATATCACGTGAGATCGTGAGATTATCTGATTACGAAATGTACACATATATATTTGCGTATGTGTATAAAACATGAACTCTCTTTCGGCTGGGTTTGTGCCTTCTAATCGATTTTCGTTAGAAAATCACACGGTCGGATAAAGGTAGCCAATCAGGGAAACGATGAAAATAGCTCGAAGCGCTATGCGCGGGAGAGAAATCGGGCAAAGATCGTTTCGCAGCTTTCTCATGATTTCACGTTTGCTCCTTTCAGCTCACAACGTACTCGCAATAAAATATTACCGTCATTATTCCAGCAACCAAAGTTACAGAAAATGAATTTTACATTGTCTTTATTTCTCTCTTAAAATATATATATATATATATATATACGCGTACATATATACATGATTGCATGCTTGTAGAGTGGAGGGTCGCGATTTGGTGGTGCACTTCGACGTGAGATTCGATCCGCGATACCAGACTATAACCACCGGGAATATCGTGGATATTCTTTCGCGAGAGCTGAATTCCGAAACATCGCGGTATCTGACAAATCTGACAATAGAAGCAAAGAGTCTCGAGGTACAGGAGAGTCTTACGGCCCTTAATGCGCAGTTCAGTTCGCAATCGACCATTTCGACGTTGCCGCCAACAACAACGGCTCCTCCGCCAAGAAGATGCGGCAAGTTGGACTTGTCCTACTGCAAACATCTCCCTTATAACATCACTTCGTACCCTAATCTACTGGGACATAAATCGTTGGTCGACGTCGAGGAGGATGTTATCGCTTTTAGGTAGGTTTGCCTAAGCATACATTCTTGAAAGAGCCTGTAGTCGGTTTATTGGGGACCAGTAATTTGAGATCTTATATCTTACATTATCTTCAGAGAAGTTTATCTTTACTACAAATAGAATATTAAACGCAGTCGTGTTAGAGATTATGTCAGTTATGTAAACTTTAATGTTCGAGGATACACAGCGAGAAATACATACACATACATCTTATATACATATTACTTCTTTCGAAATTACGAAAGAAAATAATATTGTGTTACAATTTAATTAACACACTAAAATTAGAGAACTAGTGGACGCGGAATGCTACTCGTTGGCCTACGATTTCGTCTGCCAGGTGTTGCAGCCTGCGTGTCGGTCGAGTCAACCGGAAGATCTGTTGCAATTGCCTTGCAGAAGTTTCTGCAGGGAGTTCTGGCAAGGATGTGGCAATCGTCTTTCCGAGAAGATAAAACGTGCCTTAGATTGCTCCAATTTTCCGGAATACGTCGATCCCGGTAGCTGTAGGCCAAAACCAGGTGCGATTGAGTGTTGTGTACTAATACGTTAGTATTGCTAATGTTAAAGAAAGTTTTTCTTTACCAAGTGCAGTGACTAATTAATATGTAAATTATCGCAGGATGCGTGCAAGCGCTTCAATCAAAAGCTCTGTCTCCGAGAATATGCGACGGCGTGATCGATTGTCCGGATCTCTCGGACGAGAAGAATTGCGCTTACTGTCGAGACGGTTACATGCATTGCGGAGTAGGAAGAACTTGCATACCGCATGCAAAGCGATGTGACGGCAAGGCGGATTGCCCGAACGGTAGCGATGAGAAAGACTGTCGTAAGTAATATTGTAATAAATTGTGAATTTGGCGCGAAGCACTGCCGTGCCTCTTGATGAGAGAATAAAAAAATAAAGTTCTGCTTATTGAGTTTCGAGAAAAATATTTAAATTTTATATATTTTTATATGTTATATTAAATTGTTTTAAATTTATTTAATTTAAATTAAAAAAGTAAATATGTTTGTTACAGTATCTTTGGCGCCGAGTGTTCAGGCGTTCAAATCACAATCTTGGAGCACACCGCATGTTGCTAAATATAACAAAGAGGGCTATGTTGTGTTCAACGAGAAAGGTACCATCGGCAAACTTTGCACGGCCAACTTAAACGCTACCTTACCGGAAACGGAAATGGATAATGTTCTCCAAACAGCAGCGAGCTCATTATGCACTTTACTTACGTATAGGTATTTTTTTATAAATATTTACTTTGCGCAATTAAAAACAAAGTTGTTGAAGCACAATTTAAAAGTTTTGCAACTTTTTAACGCAGTGGCGTAGCTTCCGTTGAAGTGAGAATTGATGACGAAGAAGATGTCCCGTACGTGTACATGGAGGATCCATCAGCACCGGAAATCACTTTTGTCAGAGCTCCTTGTCCGAGTAAAGAAGTTCTGTACGTCCGCTGCTCCGATCTCGGTACATACAGATTCTATAATAATATTATTAATTGTTATTGTAACTTTTGACGTACGCACATATAAATTTGTTGACTTGTTTTTTTTTTTTTTTTGAAAAAGTAGAATGTGGAGTACAACCTTTACGTACTAACGGTGGCATTCAAGGCCTCAATAAAATGGCAGAACCTGGCGACTGGCCTTGGCATGTTGCACTGTTCAAGGAAGGAGTTCATGTTTGCGATGCCACACTTGTGGCAGATAATTGGTTGCTTACAACAGCGTATTGTTTTCAAGGGTAAATTTAATATCTTGACTCAGAATACAATAATGCATGCAAATATGTTTTTGCATACGCTGTTTGTTTTATTGAAATAAAAGCACAAAAAATATAAAGTAAAAGTGATTTATAATCGAGCGAAAATAAAATATAATTAATTTTAATGTTATATAACGTCTTTCCGTTATTTTTGCAAGTCAACCGAAAGCTGAATGGTCTGCTAGACTTGGCGTCGTGCGCCTTTCAAGTACATCACCGTGGCAACAAGAACGCAGAATCGTTGGCATGGTCAAATCACCGGTGGAAGGCACGACTGTTCTCGTGAAGTTGGATAGACCGGTAACGACCTTTTCGGACTTTGTGAGACCGGTTTGTCTGCCCTCCAGCGAGGACCCACCGAGCAACGCATCGCACTGCAACACTCTCGGTTGGGCGAGAAACCGTACGTTGGCAATCGTCATTATTTAGCTGGTTGTTTGTTAAAATCTAATTGTATTTGTTTAGAGAATCTTCTTCCCTTATAAACTAAAGAAATTGTACATATTTAAACTATGTATGTTAAAAATTATGACATAATGTTAATGTTCTAATTGAATACAAGAGAAAGATATATTTGATGCAACTATGTGCTTCTTTCACAGGAGATTTACTTCAAAGGGTACAGCTCAAACATAGCGCGATGGAGAAGTGCGAAAATATCAGCATTCCCTCGGTAAACAGCGTTTGCACCGAGCAAGCATATTCCGCAGACGATTGTAATGTAAGTCAAAATTTTTTAAATTACAGTATGCACAAAATATAGTTCCGTTTCTGAAAAACCTTATTTTATCGATTATTAAAATATAAATGAATTTTAAATACACACAAGTGGACCTAATAACACAAAGTAGCATTTTATAAAATTCAGGAGGAAGAACTTGCTGGCAGTCCAATGCTGTGTCTTCAAGCAGATGGTCGAAAATGGATGCTGATGGGTATCGGCAGTTGGAGGATAGCTTGCTCTAAAGCCGGCATGGAGAGACCTCGAATGTACGACAAAATTTCGTCGCATATTGACTGGATCAAATCTACTATTGGTTGAAAACTTTCGTCGAATTCAACATCCGAGACAGACATCGTACCGCTGATAAACAAGATATTCTTGAAGAATATATAATAAAAACTAGATGGAAAAAATGTATATCCCTATTATATTTCACAACTGCAACCGATATCTGAATTGTGATTACTATCGTGCGATGTGTTTGATAAAATGATAGACTTAATCTGTTTTGTAGGAGAAAAGTACACATGTTGCGTCTGCATTACATAATTTTGTCAGGCGTGACAAGCACATGTGCCCTGCTATCGATAAAAGTGCAATTCCGTTCTTTTTGTAAATATAAGTATCTTCTTAATTTAGAAGAGTCCTTCTCGTTACCGTGGCATAATTTTTAACTTATTTCCCTCATTCTCTACAGTTACTTTACTATACGTACATGTAGTTTATTTGTACTTTTATTTTTAAGTCACACCATTATTTTAATATTTAGATTAACGTATGTACGTTATTGTAAAATTATTTACACATTAAAGTTTCTTAAAACAATAACGTTTTGAAATACCACTTCTTATCATTTCTGTGTAATTTCATACACAAGAAACTTAACTTGTCAACAAGACGCAAGCATTGGAAACTCAAGATTATTACTTAAAAGTTGTTAATGAAGAATAACAAGTTTTACGATGGTGACTTATATAACATGCGTTCGGGCGAAGAATACGCGTCATGACTTACGCATTGATCAATAAATCTTCCCGCCAACAAACGGCGCATGTGACGTATATAGATTTCAAACGAGAGGACCAATTACCTCGCAGCGATTCTCGGCACGTAATTTGCGCAGTTAGCGCTGCGCAACAAAGCGGGAATGTTGCACGCCAATTGGTCGTAAACGACGTTCTCGACTCTCACAATGCGCACGGCTTTGGACTCTTTTATAGGCTCGACTGGTTTGCGACGCAAGCAGTGTGTGTCGAAGCACGTGTATGAGAAAGACGCGGAGAAAAAATTATAAAATATGTCCGGCTGTACAGCCTCCGAATTTAATCAAGCAACTAATACTTATCTTCTTTTAGAAGATGGTAGTATCTTTTTTGGAAAATCTTTCGGCGCTGATGTATCGATCGACGGTGAAATCGGTGAGTTCGTAAATCGAATCGAACACATGTTTCTCACGGGTTAGAGATGTGAACATATACGTACACGTGCACGCTTTCTGAATCAACTTCCGCAACGAACGCACGAGGCGTACCATGTGTTGTCTCTTTTATTTTAGATGATAAAGACTATCGATATCGCATAGCGACGTATTACTGATATTAATTTTTTATGTAGATCTTGTACGACTTGAACGTTCCGCTTTCACTATTCTATCACTTTGCGAGTTTATTTTGAATATCGTTTAAAGAGTAGAATGTGTAAAAAAATTTAAATTCTTTAAATGCCGGAAAATATCGCAACACGATTATTAATTAAAACCTACTTTATGAAAGAAGATTGCTACCAAACTGTATTATCAGAATTAAATCTGATCTAGGTGTCAAAAAATATAATTATATATTTTATAATGACATGAATGCTTTTAGAGACAAGTTATTTGTTAAATTGCTCAAAGTAACTAAAGATAACTAAAATTAATTATTAAAATAATAAGAATTTAGTTATAACTTTTTCTTCTCGAGAATAGTTATCAAACAATTTTTTAATAATTTTATAACTGCCAAAATTAGTACTCTCTCTGCTTTAATTTTAAATTATGTTGTTTATAATATATATTTCCGATACTTAAGCTAAGGTTACTATTTTTACATTTGTTGTTTTCTTTCGAGCTACCGGTTGCCGATGATAAGCCTTACGAATAATTATGTTACGAAAGTAGTAGGTGCGGGTATTTCGTCATGTTCTTGGTTAGATTTCACTGGATTTTATAAATTAATATGATAAATTACAATATGACATGTAAATATACTTCATATGAAAAAAAGAGTAGCGAGTCTTTTAAAACAAACCTGATATTTAATATCTCTTAGAGAGTAACAAAAATAATTGATGTAAATTTCTGATGCTGAATGATTGCACACATGTAATAAGATTTCACGTATAAATCCTCACACACTCGATTATACATCGCATGGTAACTTCAACAGACGCGAATCGTCATAAAGTCTAACGTATGAAATTAGCATGACAGTGCCGTAATAAATGCTTTGGAAAAAATTTCTGAGATGAGAATAGGAACAATTAATTGTTTGTGTATTGACCTTCTTTGTTAATATTAAATATTTTATATATTTGCCGATTTTATCATTTCAAATATATCTGTTATAAAATATATACTATATATTTACTACGTATAAGATACATCTGCTCTTAATTTATTTTTTTCCTAAATTGTTATATTTTTCCAGTCTTCCAGACTGGTATGGTCGGTTATCCGGAATCACTTACCGATCCTTCTTATCATGCTCAAATTTTGGTGCTTACATATCCGCTGATTGGAAATTATGGTGTTTTCAATGATGAAAAGGACCAATATGACCTACCTCGGTAAGTGGTTGCAACAAGACTTAACTCAACGAATGTACACAGTAATAGTATTGCAATCTTTAACAGTTGCATGTGAATTGAGCAAATTAACTGTTATATAGCTTGCAAAGAGAAAGAGAAAAAGAAAAAAGAGAGAGAGAGAGAGTGTGTGTATGAGTAAATTGCATTGAATATATATATAAAACACGTTTTTATACTTATAATTATGTAAAATACGAGATACAAAACACTGTAAATGATAAATGTAAATAAAAAATAACTATAAATGGAGATCTTTTAAATAAGTATATATACACTCAACAAACTCAATGTCGTAAATTGGCAGCAATTGACGCAAAGCCAGCAGAGTGGCAGCAAATTACTGCCAATAAAATGACTGATTTATATCAAAATAAAAATATCATTTTAAAATAAATAAAACTATTATTTTTTAAAACAAAAAGATAATATTTTTTGTATTATATTTACATACAAAATCTTTGATTTGAAAATTTTTATAATATTTATATATATAAATCTATATATAAAGATATATAAAGAAATTAATAAAATATTCAATTTAACAATTAACATTGCAGTTGGTTTGAATCTCGTCGCATTTGGGTCGCAGGACTTGTCGTAGGCGAAGTGTGTGATTATCCCAGTCACTGGCGCAATATCAAGACATTATCTAAATGGATGAAGGAACAAAATATACCCGGAATTTGCGACATTGACACACGAGCATTAACAAAGATTATCCGGGAAAAAGGTTCGATTTTGGGAAAGATAGGGTTTGGAAAACCATCGTCGAACACTCTGTCTGTAATGCCTCTTATAGAAGATCCCAACAAAAGAAATCTCGTTGCGGAAGTCTCTCAAGTAAAAATATTACTTTTTTCTATATTTCTGTAGTTAAGGACAAGAAATTTATTTAATGTTCTGCGATTTTTTAAAATCTTTTTATAATTATTACGTAATTGCATCTTACTCTTTCAGACAAAAACAACTACGTACAATCCAGCCGGATCTCCTCATATATGCGTAGTTGACTGCGGATTGAAAAACAATCAATTAAGATGCCTATTAAAACGCGGTGCTCGTATAGACGTTGTACCGTGGAACTATGATTTCACAAATATGCAGTTCGAAGGTTTATTTCTTAGCAACGGTCCGGGTGATCCCACTCTGTGCACAACAACCATAGAAAACATCCGGAAAGTCATTGCACAAAACAAGAAAAGACCTATCTTTGGCATATGTCTTGGGCATCAACTGCTATCCATAGCTGCTTATTGTGAGACATATAAAATGAAGTAGGTGTTACGCATGTGTGTAAATAAATTTCGCGTAAAAATATTTTGCACGTACATCCAGTTCTTGACCCTTATACTGATCATTTTTTAAATATATTTTGATTCTGTGTAAACACAAGTTACAATAGCTCAACATTACAGGCGATGTGTTTACTTTCAGATACGGCAATAGAGGTCACAATCAAACCGTGACGCATCATGGCACCGGACGTTGCTACATGACCTCGCAGAATCACGGATTTTGCGTCGATACAGTTATGTTGCCACCTGATTGGGAAGTGCTCTTCACTAACACCAACGACAACAGCAACGAGGGCTTAGTTCACTCTAATTTGCCGTATTTTTCTGTTCAATTTCATCCGGAACACACAGCAGGACCTGAAGATCTCGAATGTCTCTTTGATGTATTTCTGGAAAGTGTAAAGGCCGAAGTCGAGGGTTCTCGAATCTCGATAAAGGACAGAATTGCTCAGAAACTGGCCTATACGCCTTTAATTCCAATTGTAACTGAGCAGCCGAAAAAAGTATTGATTTTAGGCTCGGGAGGACTCAGTATCGGTCAGGCGGGAGAATTTGATTATTCGGGCTCGCAAGCCATTAAAGCGTTGAAAGAAGAATCGATACAGACTCTTTTGATCAATCCCAACATTGCCACGGTACAGACGTCAAAAGGCATGGCCGACAAAGTGTACTTTTTGCCGATTACACCGGAATATGTTGAGCAGGTGAACTCACTGCTTTGTAGCTTGTATAATTAATAACATTGCAATAATTACTATAATCTTTCCTATATTGAAATAACTTTATCAATTATTTATTTTAGGTAATACAATCAGAGAGACCGGACGGCGTACTATTAACATTCGGCGGACAAACCGCTCTTAACTGTGGCGTGGAACTTGAGAAGAACGGTGTATTCACAAAGTACAATATTAGAATTCTAGGAACACCAATTGAATCTATTATACAAACTGAAGACAGAAAGCTGTTCGCGGATCGTATTAGCGAGATAAATGAAAAAGTTGCACCAAGTGCCGCTGTATATTCCGTTCAAGAGGTAACTTTTTATTTTTGTAAGTTAATTCATTGTTCACTTTTAGGCCTAAAAACAATAGTTTAAGATTAAAATCAAGATTTTTTTCAACATTAATGTGTTATTGTTATTATTTCTATAAATAAATTTCTTTCTGAACAGGCCTTAGAAGCTGCTAACAAGCTAGGATATCCCGTAATGGCGCGCGCTGCGTTCTCACTTGGTGGTCTTGGATCAGGTTTTGCTAATACAGAAGAAGAACTAAGGACACTTTCGCAACAAGCATTTGCTCACTCCAGCCAATTGATCATCGATAAATCTCTGAAGGGTTGGAAGGAGGTTGAATACGAAGTCGTACGCGACGCATATGACAATTGCATTACTGTGTGCAACATGGAAAATGTTGATCCTCTTGGTATCCACACCGGCGAGTCGATCGTGGTCGCGCCGAGTCAGACTCTATCGAATAAAGAGTACAACATGCTACGAACCACCGCGATTAAGGTCATCAGGCATTTCGGCATCGTTGGAGAATGTAACATTCAATACGCGTTGAATCCTTCGTCCGAGGAATATTACATCATTGAAGTGAACGCGAGATTAAGCAGAAGTTCAGCTTTAGCCAGCAAAGCCACCGGTTATCCTTTGGCTTATGTCGCTGCTAAACTGGCGCTTGGAATACGCCTGTCGGATATTCGTAATTCTGTCACTGGAGAAACGACGGCTTGCTTCGAGCCAAGTCTTGATTACTGCGTGGTCAAGATACCAAGATGGGATCTGAGCAAATTCCATCGCGTCAGCACAAAGGTACGAGATACTTCAATTTAATTGCTCTTTTTAATATGTTTCAAAATCTCAATTTAAAAAAAACTTTTCTTGCAGATTGGCAGTTCCATGAAAAGTGTGGGCGAAGTAATGGCAATTGGTCGAAAATTTGAGGAAGCTTTTCAAAAAGCACTCAGAATGGTTAACGAGAACGTAAATGGTTTCGATCCGTACGTGAAGGTGATCGATGACGAGGAACTGGAAAAACCAACCGACAAGAGAATGTTCGTTCTCGCAGCTTCAATTAAGGCTGGTTATACGATCGATCGATTGTACGAGCTCACCAAAATAGACCGCTGGTTCCTCAAGAAGATGAAGAATATTATTGATTATTATTCGCTCTTGGAGAATATCGATCATACGAAGCTCACGCGCGAATTATTACTGGGCGCGAAACAGATCGGCTTCTCGGACAAACAGATCGCCGCCTTGGTGAAGTGCTCCGAATTAGGTGTTAGAATACAGAGACAGGAGAATTTCATCCGACCCATGGTCAAGCAAATTGACACGGTGGCCGCTGAGTGGCCGGCCACCACAAACTACCTTTATCTCACGTACAATGGCATTACTCACGATATGGAATTTTCTGGTGGATATACGATGGTCATAGGTACAGCGTCTTCGTGAATTCTTATCGCTATATATTGTATTGAAATAATAAATGTACGTATTTTTAAATACGTAAATATGACACATAATATTTTTGTTCAGGTTCCGGTGTATATAGAATCGGTAGTTCAGTGGAGTTTGATTGGTGCGCCGTAAGTTGTCTGCGCGAATTGCGAAATCTCGGACGCAAAACCATCATGGTGAATTACAATCCAGAAACAGTCAGCACAGACTATGATATGAGCGATAGGCTGTACTTCGAGGAGATTTCTTTCGAGGTCGTGATGGACATATATGATTGTGAGTGTCCTGAAGGTATCATATTGTCCATGGGTGGGCAGTTACCTAACAATATTGCCATGGATCTACATAGACAACAGGCCCGTATCCTCGGGACTTCACCGGAGTCTGTCGATAATGCTGAAAATCGTTTCAAATTCAGCCGTATGCTCGATAACATCGCAATATCGCAGCCAAGGTATTTATCAAATATATACGAATATAAAATAAAATATATAAAAAATATATAAAAAATAAAGTAATATAAATATATGTATTATAAAATATATAAAAATATATAAATCGATAACACACTTATATCTCTTGCTTTCTCTTTGCTGCACTTTTGGTGTTACATTTTAGGTGGAAGGAATTGACAAACTTGAAATCCGCCATTGAGTTTTGTGAAGAAGTCGGCTATCCGTGTCTCGTACGGCCTTCGTACGTATTGAGCGGAGCGGCGATGAACGTCGCGCACTCAAATCAGGATCTCGAATCTTATTTAAAAAGTGCGAGCGAAGTTAGCAAAGAGCATCCCGTTGTAATATCAAAGTTTATTCTCGAAGCGAAGGAAATCGACGTTGATGCCGTGGCTTACGAAGGAATTATCTTGTGCATGGCTGTGTCCGAACATGTGGAGAATGCTGGAGTTCATTCAGGCGATGCTACCTTAGTAACACCACCGCAGGACATCAATGAGCAAACTCTGGCAAAGATAAAGAGCATTTCGAAAGCAATAGCGTTGTCTCTGTGTGTCACTGGTCCTTTCAACATGCAGCTGATTGCAAAAGTAAATATTGCAGTTTATTCGAAAACGTGTTGATTTTTAAATTATCGTATTATTTTTCGCAGGACAATGAGTTAAAGGTAATCGAGTGCAACGTGCGAGTATCCAGATCTTTTCCTTTTGTCTCAAAAACTTTAGATCACGACTTTGTCGCAACAGCCACTCGTCTAATTGTCGGTGAAGTAGTTGAACCTGTAGATGTTTTAGCTGGATGTGGAAAAGTTGGAGTAAAAGTACCACAATTTTCATTCTCTCGTCTTGCCGGTAAGAATGTTATCAATGTTTAATACATTTACTAATGAGCATGTTTTTGTAATTTAAAAAATTCTATTTATGTTATGTGTTTATACTATTGTGTGCTTTAATTAAAGGCGCTGATGTGATGCTGGGTGTGGAAATGGTATCTACTGGAGAAGTAGCTTGTTTCGGTGAAAACCGATATGAAGCTTACCTTAAGGGTATGTTAAGTACTGGTTTTCATATACCTCAAAGAGGTATTTTGCTTTCCATAGGAAGTTTCAAGGTAATTATAAATATTGAGACACATCGCTTTTTTATAAAAAGAATAAATTTATAATATGCTTCATGTTTTCTAAAAGTTTGAAAATTATATGCGTTTTTCTTTTAACAACAAAGTAAATATACAAATAAAAACAATTGTTTTTAGCACAAAATGGAATTACTTGAATCCATCAGAAACTTGAAGAACATGGGTTATAAACTGTATGCTAGTATGGGTACTGCTGATTTTTATACTGAGCATGGAATCGAGGTAAGTAAAAAACAAATATATTTATTGATTGTTAATATTGGTTAAAATACAATATTAATATATTTATAAGTATGACAATCACGTACACAAAACGAATAATTATGTACACAATGTATTTACAAAGATATGATTTTTAAGAAAAAATATTTTTGACAAATGCTTTCATAAAACTTAATTCATATTTTTGAGTCTGAAATAAAATTTTACAATTTTAAATTATAAAATGATGAAGCGCGATATTATGTAATATATATTAGATCAATTTTTTGACGATAATGTGCGTGACTTATAATATAAATATTTCATTAAAAAGATATCGTGTTTAATCGTGACAAGCATTTAATAAACGAAATAATAAGTAGATGCAAAAGATAGATCAATGATAAAAGATGAAAGATAGCGATATTAGAGATTTATATGCTTGAATTTCATTGGCGCACAGGAATATGAAAGATTCAAGAAAAGAGGAAAATATCTAACAGATATCTTTTTTTAAAATATAAATACGGTGACGTTATTTAAATTAATAAATTTATATGTATTTATATATTTCCCCCCAAAAAAACAAAATATTTCCCTCTCTTCTCGAAATATGTTCTATGTGTAATTCTACTGTTTTAAATATACTTACAAAGTATTTTACAATATTGCTATTTTACTCTACTAGTTTTAATCTAACTGCGGCAATATTTCATAATTTATTTTACTAAACTGCTAAAAAAATCACTCTGTTCGCTTTTGCATAACGCGATAATCGAATATCGACAACTCGCGCAAGGCAGTAAACACATTCAGTCTTCCTTAAAAATACTTGCTAAAAATTTATCATTTTTCTTCATCTTTTATTTTAAAATCAACTAAATATCAGGGAGACCTCTTCTCAAATTTATTATCGTTTCTCAAAATCAATTTCGTTTTCAATGTAATCGTTTCAATGTTTGTTTGTCGAAAACATAAACATTCCTATATCTTATACATCGCAACAGATCTCATCTACATTTTATTTTTAACAAAGACATACATCATATATATGTCGTTTCTGTTAAATTGTCCGTTAAAGAAACCACTTTTTGCGTTATCGATATACCCGAGGCCGAGTCGTCACTTTGGTCCGTTGATATAGAATGTCCTTTGTCACTTTTACTCATTGATGTTGGATTTTTTCTGTATGGAGTTTCGTTATCCCGGTTTTTCGATATAGAACGTCTCGGATATAGATCATCGTCACTTTTGCTCCTCATCAACATAGGATTTCTCTTATATTCATCGTCGTCACTTTGGTCCGTCGATATAGGATTTCCCGTGTACGTATCTTTGTCATATGAACTAGAATTTCCTGTACATAGATCTTCGTTACTTTTACTCATCGATGTTGGACTTCTCTTGTATGAATTTTCGTTATCTTGATTCTTCGATATAGAACGTCTCGGATATAGATCATCGTCACTTTTGCTTCTCATTGACATAGGATTTTTTCTATATTCATCGTCGTCACTTTGGTCCGTCGATACAGGATTTCCCGTGTACGGATTTTTGTCATACGAACTAGCGGTCGCATTCTTTGCTTTCGCGATCTTGTTATCCGCGTAATCTTCACGACTAGAATGTGATTGTTCGTCCTTCGACGGTTTTACATGAACTTCTGCAACGTGTGGCGTGAAACGATCTTTCAAGTTGCCGGCAAATATCGGTCCCAATATGTTTCTCTTCGGTGTTTTCGGCAGTTCGTTTTGTAATCTCACCGTTGAATTCGTTGCTTTTTCTCTCTTCCTCAGAGCCTTAATTTTGTCGCGATAAGCTTTAGCGTCGTCTATGTACCTGTCATTCTGCTCCGATAGGATGATCGAGAGTCGATCTGCTTGATCAAGATAAACCATTTTTTGCGAATAAGCACGATACCTGTGACAGTAGTCCGCCATTTTTATGAAATGTCTGACAAAGAACTCTAACAGCTTGGCCAGCCTTGGCCCCTCCAAATCGGCGCATCGTTCCTGGAAAAGAAAAACGCGAATGAGTTAGCCGTGACTCTTGATCCACTAATCGCAAAACAAAAGGACGATAAGATTAGATTCGTTGGGAAGTATGGCATCACGGATTGACTTCGCACTTTCTGTCCGGTTAACTGATGTGCCGCACCGGCTCGCTCATTGCGAACGAATCGATAACAATCTTATCGCTTGAGGAACTTACCGAGATCTCGACGATATTGTCTGTGGCGCGCGTGGTCACTGTTCGGTTTGCGTTCACTCGCCAATAGATCTGCGGACTCTTTTTCGTTTCGCTCCACAATCCGCCGGTCTTTTCGTACTTCTCTCTCTCGATCGGCTTTCTCTGCGTCGGCACTTGAATGCTCAGACCCGGATTTGTTAATATCTTCAGTAGATACTCAAGATCTAACTTCGGAAAGAACTGGTCTCTATAGTTAATGTACTCCAACGTGTTGAACACATACATCACCGGATTCTCGATTATTCTCTTCAGCTGTTTCTGGCTATGCAACAGATAAGCGTTTGATATCTGTTGAAACATATTTTTGTTATGAACAAAGTAGTCCTCCAGAATCGGCTCGGTCTGACTGATGCAGTCGTAGAGACTCTTTAGTAGTTTGATTAGACAATCTCCTGTCCTATTGTCGGGCCACGAGGACGGTCTGTCATTCTCCTCGATCAGCCAGAACAATTTGTTTCTGATATGATTGATCGTCAGACCATATATCCTCTCTTGCACCGGTCTTAAGAAGGTTTTGTGAAGCATTAGCGCGATCAGGTACACTTGCACTTGTGAGTGCGTCATGCAGGTCTCCAGATATCGCTCCGCGGCCGGAAATGCCAACTGCCATTCGATTTCTTGATAAATATTCTTTTTTGTAGTTTGATTTTGCAATCTACTCGACGATGAGTTGTTTTGCTTTGGCAGAGAGTTTTCAGGTATTATGTAACAACCGAAATCTTTTATTTTGTTAACGTCGTTTTCATTGGGCCAAGTACTTCTCGGCCGATATAACCATTCCTGGGCGAATTCCGGCCATTGTAGCCAGATCGTCGGTGTGATCTCGTAAGAGTCGATCCTGCGTTGTTTGGGAATGTGCGACTCTAACATCTTGTAGCAATGAATCACTGAATTTTCCACAAAATCCAATCCATCTTTCTGTTTTTTAAAACTCAGCGATTCCGCTAGCTGATCTATGAAAAGACGGACGAAGTAATTCATGAACATCTTGCTGCTCATAAAAAAAACGTTGCTATCGTATTGTCTGTCGGCCATTATGAGATGAAACTGCTTGCTGTTCTGCGGTTTTCTGTTCAGCTTCTCTCTCGAATAAATTTTACCTTCACTGTTGATACGCACTTCTTTGAAACAATCCGATGGAATGTTTGTCGAACAAACTTTTCTCGACGTATCCGTAGTCGTTTTATTGTAAAGGTAGTTAGAACTGTCACTATTATAACCGGAACTTGAATTGATTTCTTCGCAAATTGCTTTCGACGTCGAAGACGACGTGTCACAAATGATTCGGCTTCCGTGAAGATTTCCACGCGAGATGTATGCTTGATCCTCGTATATCGTCTCGTTATCTTGCAAAATGGACGAAGATTTCGCGCCAAACTTCGAATAACCCGAACGATCGTTTTTCTTGATTTGTTGAAGAAATTTTGTGTTTGTATTTTGATCATAAAGTTCGTCATCGCCATCGTATGTACTGTCCGTTGTCGATGAAGGATTAATATTTTTCATGTACGGTGTTTCATCGAGACATCGCAGTCGAACATATCCTGATAACAAAATAATATATCTTATTTCGCAATAAGAAAACGTTATCTCTTTCTCTCTCTCTCTCTCTCTCTCTTCTTTATATTTAAAATTCACACAACATTAGCATTTATTTACAGATAATTTACTTCAAAACAAATAAAGAACGCATTGCAGAAAGAAAAGCAAGTGGGAGGAAAATCAAAGTTTATAAAATAAATAGGAAAAATAAGCAAATAATTCATAATTTAAAGAACTAATAAATGTCAAATAATTAACAATTATTGATAATAAATAATAATTTAATTTTTAGAACAAATTTTTTTCACCTGGTTGGTTTTCGATCGGTTGAACCATCATGCTGTATGTAACTCCGCTATTTAGACTACTGTATTCCGGTAAATAATATTGTTCTGTAACTTCAATATTGTCATGTACAATATACATGCGAATAGGTTGCAGCGGTTCGATAACAGGTTCACCGGTCTGTCTCTTCGAAGTGAAGTCGATATTGCGCGCGATATACTTCTGAAGAACGTCCGGTAACAGAACGTGTTTTGAAGGAGGCAACATTTTATTTAGTTTGTCCTCGTAAGCTGATGCTAGAGTTTCTTTTATGCGATTCATATCTCTGAAAAAAATTCAACAAAAACTTTTGTACAATTTTAATCTCATATAATCTGTTATATTAATGTAACTAATTACATCTATATATGTATAGTTTTATTATCGGAATTTGATTTTAGTGTGACAACATTAAAAAAATAAAAAAATTAATATTTCATTAATTTTTCTCTAAGTTTTTAATATATGTGTGTGCGTATGAAGAACATCATATTATAATGACATTTGAATTAATCTTTCCGCGATCTAACATTTAAATATTAATTTAAACATTTGACATATAATACTCTTCCTGTGTTTTATCATTTAATACTCTTCCTGTGTTTTATCTTATTTGTTATGATCGTAAAACTCTCTTGTTTGACGTCCAGTATAATTAATTATCTCGATAAATGATCAATTAAATTAGCGATCACAAAATAAAGGAACAATGTAAAGAATTTAATACTGCTTCCTCTAACCTCGCTCTTATCGCTTTAAAGAATATTTTTTTACATGTGTGATGCAGATTCGTAGATTAGATTAAGTCAAAACGAACAGTATCAAACGGTATTTCTTCAATCAATACGTAATCAACAAAGTAATTCTCGCGTCTCTTCTTAAACAATTTTCGAACGTATATGATATTGATAATATAATCATTCTCTATAAATAAGTCGTCATTAGTAGTTTACTATTAGACCTTCTCTATTAACAAAAAAACTTAGTTTAACGAATTAGATATGAGTGGATAAATAAAACAAACAAAAATATAAATATAAATAAATATGTATATAACAAAAAAACACACACACACATATATATATATATATTTATTTATTTAAACTTCTACTCACACAAAATAGAATTCTTTACAAATTTCCGTTAAATGTTCATTAAACGTCACATGGAGTTATGGACGTTCAGTGAACGTTTAATGGACGTTATGTGTGAGCATTATCTTGCGCAATCTCTTTATCATTAAAAGAGCGCTTCTACTGTTTATTACGTTAATGTTACATCACTTGAAAGCTTCTAAGCGTCCAAAATCAACGCTTTATTGAACTCTCACGATTTTGCAAATAAATCTTATCAACAGTATTAATCTTACTCCTCAAAATTTTCAAAGAACTGGATGCACATCATGAGATTGTTCAGTATAAATCTCTCGGGATATCTCGCGATGGTTCTTTTAAGCACCCTCAACTCGTAATCTTCGTAGTCATCCACTTGTTGGCTGGATGTAATGTCCTTTTTATGTTTAGGTTTCTTTCTTTTCTTAGGATTTTGGACGTTTCCGGGCCTCGATTTTATCAGTCCCATCTTTCTTTCCGCCCAATGACAAAATACGCGCAATTGATACGGTCACGTGGACACTTCTCCACGTGTGAACCGCGTTCACAAAATCGCGGAATTCACTATAAAAGTCACTTCGGAATCACCACTAAATCACTAACACTTCATCATCCTGGGTCACTCAAGGTCAACAAGATCGACGTCGTAACATTGTACGTGCACGCGCGAAAGGACACGTCGAGCGATCGGTGAATCAAGTAGTCTTTCCGCGGGGTGTCGATATTGATAAATAGCTATCGTTATCGCGGACGATGCTTTTAATTGGCCGCTCGCTATCAAACAAGCTTGGCAAAATGCTTATGAGAGATCGCGCTGCTGTCATTACGATAAAGCTCTGATGTTTCGGTAAATGTTCGTTGGTGTCCAGTTTTGCACCAATCTTACCACACTGGTCTGGACAATTACGTAGAATTATAGACAATGTATGACAAGATCATTATTAAAAAATTAAGAGATTAATGAAACACTGAATGTCTCAATTTATAACAAATTACAGCAATTGCTTAACAAAAATGTAAGCTTTATGTAATCTTTCTTTGGTACATACTATCAGATTGTCTTATTGTCTGATATGTGCATGCAACAGGCATTGCCGAAATGACCACTTGCTGTGTTGCGCGGATAAGAAATATTTTTTATTAACATAATAAAAGTTATAGGAGTTTAGAAATAATGATGAGTTATCGTTTGTAGATCTCCAGAAGTACAATCAAATTCCGGTACAATATCACGTTTTGCAGAATTGTGGTCATGATTTTACAAGTAACATTCAATCCTTCTGATGTCACACATATAACAATAACACGGATAAAAACGTTTTATCTAATCTGTACATTAAGTTCCTATCGAGGTGAAAAATTGCAGATTGATTCCGCCATGCAACGTACGCGAATAGATAAATGCGTTGTTTCTCAACGTAGCTCCGATCACATTTGAAAGCAATTTGTTCTCCTTCGTAAGATGAAAGAGAGATGTAGGTTGTAGTAATTCAAGGTCTCGTTCAAAATATTCCGATAAACGAATAATTATTATCTTATCTATTTTGATGATCTCAGTGATATAGAGATAAATGTTCAAATTTGAATTATATAAATTTTTTTCTAAAAGATATACCGCGTATTTGCAAATACACTTCTATTTAATATGAGATTATTAAAAATAATAAATACTAATGAGTAATATAATATTTTTATAAGCCATTAATTATATTTATTAAATATAAAGCATACATATATATTGCAGTGTATGAAATACTTTGCAATACATTTTTGATATTGCAGGTAGAATCGGTGAGATGGACATTTGAAAACATTGCTGTGAATGAGAACTCCACTCTGAGTGAACTCGAACATCTCGCTCACTTTTTATCGAAGAAGCAATTTGATCTTGTTATCAACTTGCCGATGAGAAACGGTGGTGCTCGTCGTGTTAACTTCATGACACATGGATATCAAACCAGAAGATTAGCAGTTGATTATTCCGTACCTCTGGTTACGGATGTTAAATGCGCTAAACTTTTAGTCGAAGTAAATATCCAACTTTGAGCTTACAAAAATATCACGTTATTAAATTAAACAAAGGAAAAAGATGTAAATTGTTAGTCAACTGACTTAGCAGTGGTTTTTTAATAAATAATATAGCTACAAATTATTAATTAATATATTGAAAGAGTAGATAGAATGTTACTTTTTTATATTTGCAACTACATTTTTATCATTCGCACGTCAATGATCAAAGATCGCTTCCGATAAAATAAGATTATTAGTCATTTTTGCTTATATAAATTCAATATTTGATGATAATATATGATAAAGATACAAAGTTCATTTTGGGATGTATTCTTACATTATTGATGAAATTATATGATGACGTAAGGTGAAAAATGTTAATGAGAATTGCCTGCATACGAGTTTATATATTATTTTCTATAGGCAATGAGAATGGTTGGTGGTAAAGCACCACGTATGAAAACGCATACTGACTGCATGTCATCGCGCAAAATGATTAGGCTACCCGGTTTCATCGACGTGCATGTACATACGCGTGATCCTGGTGCAACTTACAAAGAGGATTTTGCATCATGTACTGCGGCTGCACTCGCCGGAGGTATCACAACAATTTTTGCGATGCCGAATACAAATCCTGCGGTTGTCGATCATCAGACTTTTGCCATAGCCAAAGAGGTAAGAACTTATATTGATCAATTCATCAAACTTTTTCTAATATTTCATCATAATAATACGTCAAGTAACTATGTTGTGCACAACTATTTTTATATTGAATAAAATATAAATGTTTATTCATAAGAAGTACAAAAAAGAATATACATTTTATAATAACGAGTGTCAAGAAGTGCTTGAAAAGGTTTTTTTAGTTTGTATGCATATATATACATATAGAAACTTCGGTGCGAATGTACAGAAACTTTAATCTTGTTTTATTTTAATCAAGGTGCAAATTAGCTAGATCTTTTGATTAATCTTGTGTGGACACTTCATATATATCTACTCTCTTATCTACTAAACCAACTGTTAGTCTCGTATCAAAATGTTGAATGTAACGGTTGAGATTTTTCACGTTGTAATATTTAAGTATATTAGACTAAAAGATACAAAAACTTTCTATATTGTTTACAAATGTAAATTTTACGAGTCTTAAAATTAGTAATTTTGAAATTATTTTCATTATCGACTTTATTTTTATGTGACTATAATTTTTATTATTATAGTTTTATTTTTACGTGCCAGTTTGATCGACTCGCGAGGCTCACGTGCCTCACGCGTTTTAGTGACAAAATGATAATCAGAAATCGAGCAATCACGTAATTATAAAAATTGAGATTGCTGCAACTAGCGAGATTGGTCTCAACAATGTGATATCGTGTGATAACATAGTTTGAAAAGTGACGTCTTTTATCTTAGGCTTAAGTTTTGTTCTTTATATTTAAAAAACATACTTATACACGTACTTATTTATCAACCCGCGCGATGTAGATTCTTCTAGAGATATGTTGAAGTTGACAATTAAGATTTCTCCCGTATTAAGATTCCTTTCATATTTCTTCCAATCCAAAATTACAATTAAACACGTGTACGTTTATTTTTATACGTGCTAAGGTTGATTAAAATTAATTTTAGCGTAAATAAATTATAATAATGCAATGTAATTATTTATTTGAATAGCAAGCTGAAGCTGGCTCGCGATGCGATTACGCACTCTTTGTCGGTGCTTCTTCGGACAATTACAATCTCGCGCGAGAAATAGCGCCATCCGCAGCCGCTTTAAAGATGTACTTGAACGAAACATTTACAACACTTCGCCTCACCGATCTTACAGTTTGGATTAAGGTAAACGGAAAGATTGTGCAATATAGAAAGAACGATATGTCAAACGCAAATATATTTCTTACTGAAAAATAACACGAAAATTTTCAAGTAAAATGTGTGTACGTGTATCGAAATTTTTTAAGTGCAAACTTTATATTTGAAATTTGTACGATTGCTTTCTCAGCATTTCGAAAGCTGGCCTAAGAAATATCCTCTGTGCGTGCACGCGGAAGGACAAACCACAGCTGCAGTTCTTCTCCTGGCGAGTTTGCACAGCAGGCCGATTCATGTGTGCCATGTTGCGAGAAAAGAAGAGATAGAAATTATACGTGCGGCAAAGGAACATGTGAGAGTATATATATATATATATATATATTATTTAAAGTGCAAATCGTAGAATGTATATATATAAATTGCTAAAAATTTATTTTTATATAAAAATTTATTTTAAAACATAAAATTTAAATTAAAAACATTTTACCAATAAACAGGGATTGCCGGTTACGTGCGAGGTATGTCCGCACCACTTGTTCCTTTGTCAGGATGATTTGGATAGGATAGGACCTGGAAGAGATCAAGTAAGACCTACTTTAGGAACAAAAGAGGATCAGCAGGCTCTTTGGGACAATTTAGACATCATCGATTGTTTCGCAACTGATCATGGTATATATAGCAATCTCACTAGTTTTATAACTAATCTTATTGCAATCTCAAGTTATAAAAATTATTTAAATTTAAGTAAAATAAAAACATCCGTATCTCTCTTTCGAATCGATAACAACTAATATTATTCTATAATTCGAAAATAAAATAACGTATGTGGTCCGTGTTTGTGTAACGTCTTCTTTGTTTTGCTTTTAAGTCATACATGAATATTCTTTTTATTCCGATATTATCGGACTTTTGCAAGTTTTCAAGAAATAACAAGCACTTGATATATCGATAAGAACTAATGTTTTGATAATTCAAAAATTCGATATCTTGTTCATCCGATGAATATAAAAGAGTCGATTTCTCTAAAGAGAAATCCACGCGATCGCGCGTTACTCAATACAATTTATGTGTTTTTATATTAAGTTAACAAAGGAAGCAAGAAGCGAAATAGATCGTTTCGAAATCGATTGAGTTTTCACATACAAACACACGTTTCGACAAATAAAAACTTAGCTAATAATTTATCATTTTTGTTATTCAATTTACATTCTAGCTCCGCACACAGTACAAGAGAAATCTTCAGAGAAACCACCGCCAGGATTTCCTGGCCTGGAAACTATGCTACCGCTGCTGCTAAACGCTGTGCATGAGGGAAGACTGACCATGGAGGTACTTTTTCTGCTCAGTTTATTGAAACTTTGATTAACATTTGGCTGACGTAACAAGTATGGAATTTTGATAAGCAATCGATACCAACTTATAAATGTTGTACATATACGTCATTTCGATCGTCGAAGATAAGTTTTTTATCCTCCCAGACGTGACGTACTAATCGCAATAAATTTTGTTACATTGTGTGTACGTGTTCTCTATTGAAAATTTATAAAAACAATATTTTCTAATTAGAAGAGATTTTATGTTTTCCTTGTTTATTTTTCTCACAATAACCGAAGGATACCGAGTAGTTTATCGAGTAGTTTATCGAGTTCATTTCCTGTTAACGGGATTCTGAAAGAAACTTTATGGAGGTTTGTTTAAACACGATCACGTGTTTACGCTTATCAGTTCCTCCATTACAGATGAGCGTTATTGTTCCTGATGATAAATCTTCATTGCGAGATAAGTATTGTGTGAAAATCCACTTGTAACGTTAATTGTAAAAATGGGAAAAACGCTCTCTTGTTGATTGTAGTTTAAACACTAGACAGATTGTTCCAAGTGTTTTTTTCAAATGTTTCTTACAAAGATATACGTGCTATTGTCTTATATAACAACTACTTAATCTTATATAAGCGCATATGTTACAAGTCACTTTTTAGCAAAAATTATTACATAATATATTCGAACAGAGAGAGAGAAAGAGAGAGAGAGAGAGAGGGAGAGAGAGAGAGAGAGAGAGAGAGAGAGANAGAGAGAGAGAGAGAGAGAGAGAGAGAGAGAGAGAGAGAGAGAGAGAGAGAGAGAGAGAGAGAGAGAGAGAGAGAGAGAGAGAGAAAGAGAGAATAATATTGGGACTTTCATTACACTGATTGCAGGATATTATTGACAAATTATACAAGAATCCCAAGAGGATCTTTAACGTTCCCGATCAACGTAACACGTACGTCGAAGTCGATCTGGACGATGTATGGATCATTCCGGAAGCAATGCCGTTCAGCAAATCAAAGTGGACACCTTTCGCTGGTATGAAAGTTCGCGGTTCAGTGCACAGAGTGGTTCTGAGAGGCGAAGTCGCTTACGTCGAGGGACAAGTACTGGTCAATCCTGGATTTGGTCAAGACATCAGAGATGTGAAATACAAAACAAAAGTTCCGCCAACACTTCACGCACCGATAATATCTATTCAACCTACAGATACTGTCTACAAACCATTGTCTTTACAAGAAAGTCTCTTGTCACCGAATTACATCGCCGAGAAATCTAATATATACGTTGATCGTGTCATCGATTCGCATGAAGACGAACAAAGCGGTAAATCGAAATATGAAAACAATGAATATATGAGAATTCTAAATGTTTTTAAAAGTTTGTTTGCTTTGTTAAACTTGCAAGCCAGTCTTTGATTATAAATTAATTTCAGTAGTCACCTAGTTAATCTCACGTGATAAGATATTCACAAAATTGAAGTCCTTTGATTGATATTCATCTTTTCTTTCAAAGCAGATACTCTGGATTACGATTAATATACGATTTTCTATTTTATATATAAAACGTATTAAATTATAACTTTGTTTTTTTTTCTATGTTATCAGAGTCGTTTACGCATCTTCTGCAACTGGCGTCGCACAAGTCTGCGCACATTGACGCAAGGGAACATTCGAAAGCGCTGGCTTCTCAAAGGACCATTTCACCGGTACCGCTTAGTGCTATAACCAAATATAAAAGTGACAGTAATCCGAATCTGTTTGCAACTTCTGTCGCACCAATTTCTGCTGGCCACACGAGCAACAGTTTAGTCGGTCGTCATATTATTACCGTAGACATTTTTGATAAAGAAATTCTGAAAGATGTACTTCATCTTGCGGAAACTCTTCGGAATGCTATCAGAAAGGACCGACTTTTGGATCATATTTTGAGGGTAATTAAATGAAGAGAGAGAGAGAGAGAGAGAGGTTCAAATATATGCAACACCGCCATTTTTTTCTCTTAATAACGTCATCTAATATCATATATGTGTAATCAGGGAAAAATTATGGCGTCCATTTTCTACGAGGTGAGCACAAGAACATCGTGCAGTTTTGCCGCTGCAATGGAACGTCTTGGTGGTCGTGTAATACACATGGATGGCTCCACATCGTCAGTGAAGAAAGGCGAAACTTTAGAAGGCTTGTAAAATTTTACAAAAACACGATAACTTAAAAATTATCCAATTATTTTGTTTTACTTTGTAGTTTTTTTCAGTGAGTTATTAAGTTATTGTTTTTATAGATTCTGTAGCAATTATGGCAGGATACGCGGATGTTGTTGTGCTTCGACATCCAAAGCCAGGCGCGGTAGCTGTGAGTATTGTGAAATGTAATATGATAACGACACAAAGAACAAATTCTTTTTTCTAAATCTACACATCGATAATAATTATTTTCAGAAAGCATCGGTGCACTGTAGAAAACCAATGATAAACGCAGGTGACGGAATTGGTGAACATCCGACGCAGGCGTTACTCGACATTTTCACGATCAGAGACGAATTTGGAACTGTAAACGGCCTTACAATTACGATGGTCGGGGATTTGAAACACGGCAGGACTGTCCATTCCCTCGCAAGGTTGGAATATAATAAAAATCTCGGTTCATGTTTCGGTTGTCTAATATAGTTGATAAGAAATTAACCAATTCATAATATTCTCTTTTTTTGACACGCGACATTCATTAAGCATTTTAACGCAGGTTGCTGACTTTGTACAATGTGGAGCTTCGTTATGTGAGTCCACCTGGCCTCAGTATGCCGGAACATGTCGTCAATTACGTGACCGCTCGTCACATTCCGCAAGAGAAATTCTCAACCCTGGAGGAGGCTCTCCCTGACACCGACGTTCTTTATATGACTCGAATTCAACGCGAACGTTTCGAGACGCAAGAAGAATACGATCGAGTAAGTTATGTTTAAGGACGTCATATATTTAGTACATTACGATTTTAATTTGCTATTTTCTGTTTCTTTTCTTTAATATAAATATTTATATGATGTGCGATTGCAGATGTGTGGCCACTTTATAGTCACACCGCAACTGATGTCTCGCGCAAAAAGGAGAATGGCAGTGCTTCACCCACTGCCAAGGGTTAACGAAATATCTCCTGAATTCGATACCGATCCAAGGGCGGCATACTTTCGACAGGCCGAGAACGGCGTGTACGTGCGCATGGCGTTATTGACTATGGTCCTTGGACGCAGCTAGTTCGCGGCCACTCGATCGTCTGTGGGTCAAGAACACTTATTGAGAAAGGACAATGACGTTAGCCAAAAAAAAAACATTTGCCATTTCAATCAGACTGTGATGCGCTCGCGAGAGCTCAACTGAATATCTATTTGACATTCCAATCATCAAGCTGATTAGCTTGATCAATTGTTTTTTCTATTTGCGTACAGTGCATTATAGATATATTGAAATTTTTCACAAATTGTTCTTAATAACGACAAACTGTTTTTATAGAGTTTTGTTTTTGACATATTTTTGTATTGAAAAAATAAAATAAGAAATGTGATAATAATCCTATGTAATATATATCATTACTGATATCTTCAAATTTTTAAGAAATCATATCTACCTTTGTACAAATCCCTAATGACTAATAAATTTAAAAATAATAATCTTAGTAATTCCAAACACATCCTAGAAATTCCGAAATGTATCGAAAGCATGCACAAAACGAGATCTATAACACGTTATATTAGCATAATGATTTAATAATATATAATGTTATTTTGTTATAATTTTTTTTGCACGCGTCGTTGCAATAGTTTTTTTTTTTTTTTTATAAACCGAAGACGCGTTCCGCGAATTTTCTTTTGTGACAAAGTGAACAGCGTGTAATATGTTATTAACAATAAGATTGGTTTTTAAACAAGAACATGGATAAAAAACGCCAGTAATTGTTTTTCGATTTCCCATCATTGTTGTTCTTTTCTCTCTCTCTGTATCTTTTAACTATATGTAATCAGCTCAAGCGACTAATACATTTATTTTGCCTCATGAATAAGAATGCTTATTCGAGCATACATCATGACGTAGCTGATAACGTATCTATAGTGGGAGTTAGTCGTTCTTGTGTTTTACCTCGACCGATCAACCGAAGTTTGTTATTCAGTCAATGGCTTTTTCTTGGCGTCTGTTAATGGCTTCGCAACTGGTAAGAGAAGCATGTAAAGAACTCTAATTACCAAAACAAATATTTGTGTAACTTTAGAAACATCGTATCTCTATCACGTAAGTCCGACTTTTAAGAAATTGTTTTGTGAAGACAGCACATGTCAACGTTACATTCAAGCCTTAAGCGTCAATGAACTTTGACACTTGATAAGTTTTCTACGAAAGTAGAAGTGAAAACACTCAATAGCTTATTTCTTATTGCAAGATTATATGATTACTATCTGCAATTCCGAAGTGAGAAATATGTATTTCTTTATCTCATAGTAAGGAAAATAGAAACTACGCTATTAGAAATGACGGAGTGAACACACTGTCTCTTAATCGTGTATATCTATATATTTAATCAAATCAATTTGCTGGTGGTTTTATCTAGAAGATGTTTAAACTGTAAATTAAAAGTACAGTTATCAGAACGACGGTATTTCTGTTTATATAGGCCAAAAAATTGTGCGAGCCAATACATCGATTCGTGTCGACTAGCTCAGCTTGGTGCGGTAAAATAATACCTTTTCAATTAGTCGACATTGGTGAAGGTATTCGAGACGTCACGGTAAAAGAATGGTACGGATAATGACACACAATAAATATTTCAGAACATTTCTTAAAATATGTATTTGTAAGCATATCAGACTGTGTTTTTAAGTTTTTTTAAATTTTAACATCTTATTACTTTTTATTAACTTTGTTTGTAAACATTGATAAAATTTAAGATACGGTTGGAACATTTGTCAATTGAAGACATATTTTTCAGGTTCGTAAAACCAGGAGATCAGGTAAGTCAGTTCGACGAAGTCTGCGAGGTGCAGAGCGACAAAGCATCAGTAACGATCACAAGTCGATACGACGGCGTCGTCAAGGCTCTGCACTTCAAGGTTAACGAAAACGCCTTGGTCGGCGAAGCGTTAATGGATATTGAAATTGAGGATTCGGAAGATACCGTGAAAGACGCGGAAAAAAACAAATCGAAAATCAAACGTCAGACTGTTGGCGATGAGGAAAAAAGATCAGCGGAATTGAAAAAAATTAATGTGGACAAAATATTAACGACTCCGGCTGTAAGAAGAATCGCCATGGAGAACAATATAGATCTGAAGGATGTAATGGCGACTGGTAAAGACGGAAGGGTACTTAAAGAAGACATATTGGCCTATCTACAACAAATTTCGGCAACTCCGAAAGTTAAGACGGAAGTTAAAACAGAAGTTCTTCGAAACATGACGAGCAGGACCATTGAACTCGAAGAACTCTCGAGTAGAACAGTCGCGTACAAAAAATATTCGAAGCACATGTGGAAAACTATGACAAAGTCTCTGGTAAGTTATTGATGCGCTACAACGAGCTGTTTATTTTCAAATAATGATAGAATTCAGCTCATCATTGCAATGCTTTTTGTGCAGAGTATACCGCATTTTGTTTATAGCGACGAATGCAACGTAGACCAGGTGATGTATTGTCGAAACAAAGTTAAGGATTCCTTGAAGAACCGAAACGTTTCTTTAACTTTTATGCCGTTCTTCATCAAAGCCGCTTCAAGAGCGTTGGAACAATATCCCGAATTGAACTCATGGCTGGACGAAGAAACACAAACACTGCGAATTTTAGCTAGTCACAATATCGGTATCGCTATGGATACTCCGGAAGGCTTAGTGGTACCGAACATCAAGAATGTACAGAATCTTAATATTTTAGCCATTGCGCGAGAACTCAACAGACTCCAGGAACTCGGCAGAAAGGCATCGATACCGCTCGGTGATTTGACAGACACAACATTCTCATTATCAAATATAGGCGTGGTAAGTTATTCGTATTTATTGAAATTAAAAGAAATTGTTTAGAGATGCAGAGAACTGCTTTTGATGGTCCGATGTTATATCATCGTCATTAATTCCGAACTTTGTAGGCCTGTTTAGTATCTTTCGAAATTCTTTCTACAAATCATTAAAAACAAGTTATGTAAATTTGTTTTAATAAATAAATATACAACAAGTAGATACTTTAAAAAAGGGAAATTTTTTAAATATTTTAAAATCAAACAAAATGCATCAGACTTGAGGTTTACTTTTAGAATGTCAAAAAACACTCCAGAGTTAATAATCAACAAAATTAGTGATATAATAAAACATATTTTTATTTATTTCTCTAGGTCGGTGGAACGTATACGAAGCCAGTAATTCTACCGCCACAGATAATAATCGGTGCATTCGGAAAGATACAAAAACTGCCTCGTTACGACGACAAAGGAAACATTGTTCCAGTCAACATAATGTCGGTTAGCTGGGCCGCGGATCATCGCGTTCTCGACGGAGTCACAGTAGCCAAATTCTCAAACTTGTGGAAGCATTATGTAGAGAATTCTATAGATCTGCTGATTGGCGCGTGAAAGTGTCATGTGTAAAAACTCTGATTAAAATATTTATGTAATTAGAGAAAGATATTTTAGTAGTTTTTTTATATATTTTTTATGAAGATTAGAAGATTTATAAAGTTAGAAGATTTATAAAAAATGTAAACACAAATTTCGTAAATATTTATAAAAAAATTAAAATAATGTAAAGTTATAGCAATATCTTCAACATTAATCACAGAATAAACAGAGTTATTAAAATTTTTTAAATCAAAATTGCACAGCAAGAAAAAAATAAAATGATTCAAAGAACATTGTGTATTGTATAATTTATATCTAACTATAAATAAATATTATTTCTATATTTATGTTTACTTATCGCATGTACATACATTATTTTATTTATTTGCACACATTTCAATTATTTAAAATATTTAAAAAATAACTTGCCGCACAATCGTCTTGGACCATAATATCACAAATACATAGTTTTTTAAACTATGATATTTCAAAATAAATCGATTTCTTAGAAAGCTATTTGATAGTGTTTTTTATCAAGACAAGTGCGCGTTGTACTTTAATTAGATCTAACTGCATAAATTGCTTCGTCTATTCAAATTTTTTGCTATTGTATTTATAAAGTACATATCACATAAAATATATATCTTCGATAAATAGTAAATATATCTCTTAAAAAAATAATAACAGAGATATTTCTTTTACTCTTCTAATTATTGTTCATAATCATATATAAAACAGAGAACGTTCAGTATTCTTCAGAGATATTCTTTAAAGAGAGTCTTTGTGCGCGATAACAAAATAAACTGATTTCTCTTAGATATCAAACTATCTCATCTCTTGTTTTAAATGCAGTATCGCTAATACCGTTAGGACACATGTCCGAGGCTAAGGTTTTTGAGTCATCTTTCCGCCTTCCTCTTGCTAATGGTGGCATTTTCAATCTTAGTTTCTTTTTCTTCAAAGAATCTGCTTTTCTGCAACATTTAGTGCAACGATGACTACTTTTATTATCGTTCAACAGAAAATTCTTGCGAATAGTTTGGAATCAACACAAGTAAATGTGTAAGACATTATAATGTCTTCTTTTATTTACGCAAGACTGTCTTATCGTGATAATATTAATTAGAACAATATTTAAAAAATTGACATAACAATAATAAATATAAATATTCTGTATCTACTTACTGGTGTTTGCAGTCTATGAAGATACCCATCACGAATAACACCACTATGGCGATGACGATGCCGATTACAACGACTACCAACGTCACGATCGCGTCCTCTTCTTCGGGGGTGATTGCTATTTCTGACGTAGGAACATACGCTAAAAGAATTATAAAGAAATACACACTTAAAATGCATCGCATTACTATACGTGCGAGAAAGTGTTTCGTTTGTGTTTTCGCCGTCGCGTTATCTCGCTGTCCTAAATTTATTTGCTATTTAACGTTAGCAGACATTTCCTAACGTCTTGTTGTACGTAAATTAACATTTATACGTCGTGTGTCTGTTTTTTTAATATATATTAGCAGTTATAATAAAATTAGTGTATAATTCTAATAAAATAGTCAAAGTAAATTTGTCAGAAAATAAAAAATGTAAATTTTTAACAATGTAAAACTGAGAAATATTGTGTTTAACATTTTTCTCTTTTTCGTAACCCGTTAGTAACGTGCAATCGCTCGTTCAAAGAGATAGCACTGGAAATACTGTTACTATGCACAACTTACGTGAGAAATGCTCGTACCTGTGTCGATATACCGTGAAAGTTATTTGCGCTAACGGAGGCAACGACGTAGGCATTTTTCAACTAGCACGGACATCGTGCGTACACTGATATTACGAATATTGTGAAGTAAGAGGAATTGAACGCACACGAACGGGAAGAACATATCGATGATGAAATTTCAAGGATCACTTGATGATTATCAAGTGATCCTTGACGTGCCATTCGATCTCTTTTACAAATGCATACACATCCAATAATCCTGACGCTAATACTTCAAGCGCGCTTTACGATATTTTGTTATAGCAAAAACGTTTTTTGTTGGTTATCAGCAAAACTATTTACTACTCCCTATAAAGAATGAACTTTTTACAAATTAAAATGCTACGCTAATCAACAGCAAGGAATTCGAAACGAGAGGGCGTTTCTCTCATACATGTTTTAATGTGTTAGTATATTACGTTGCGTTTTGATTGAAATGTCAAACGTAAAAGTCTCAAGATATGAGATGTAAAAATCTCGATATGTAATATTTCTCTCATTACACTACGAGAGATTTAATAATTAATTGTCGTCATGCTTCCAGAGAATTTAATTAATACTTTGATACAGAGAGTTTGCCGATAATAATGTGCGCAATAATGTGTGTACACACATTAAAGTAAACTGCAGCGAGCCCAATTAAATTTGCTTGATAAGAGGTTTTATTTTTGCAAGTTTTGCGTTCTCTTAGAAGAAGGAGAAAAAGAGAGAGAGAGAGAAAGAAAAAAATCTGTAAAAGAGCATATTATGCTATCTTAACTAATTATTTGCGGAATTTAAAGAATTTTTCAAACACACGTGTGCATTTATCGTCACCACATTATGTGATGATAATGAGCTTAATTGCGGCCTAATTGCGTTTTGCAGCAATTTACGATGATGACTCGAATTTAAAACTACGGACCTTTTGAATAAGATATCAGGCTTCTTATCTGAGATATCAGGTTCTCGTCGACTAATGACGGTATATTTCCAGTGACTTCACAAGGATTTCACGATTGTATTTCTGGCTATTATTATGAAACTATTCGTAATCACTTTCGATTAGAATAATTTTGTTTTTTTTTCTTTTTTTCTTTTTCGAAAAGAAAATAAAAAAGAAAAAAGTCGGACTTATTTCAAGTGAAATTGATTCCAAAAAGTTACATATACCAGCTACTCTGATCACGCAATTTTGTCTTGTTGTCATCACTTTTGTTCGAATCACGCCGTATATGCGACTGTTACAGTTACTTGCCGGCTCTTTTAACTCGGACCAACAGTATCAGACTCAAGTGATGCAATTCTGACTGTGCGAGCAAGTCCACGGAATGCTCTTGCATACCTTCCTCTCTTGGCAATGTGTCTGATATGTCACATGTAAAATGTTAGTCAAGGTCATGGCAAGAAATTAATTTAAGATCGTAAGACAAAAACAAATGCAAGATGATGTAAAATTAATTTTTATTATTTATATATTAAGAAACGTTTTGATCTCATAATTTGGATCTTTGTATTGGTTCCGAAACTGAATATAAAATTGTCCCAGACTCAAACATTAATAAAAAAAAAAAAACATATTTCACGTCAGAAGAGAAGTAAAAAAGTTTGTAGATATAATTTATAATAGATGATCATATATTTCACGTATATTTAGACGTATGTTTTTTACGTATATTATATGTATGTTTCACACGTTTGGTATTTATCAAGTATGCGCATAATTATGTAGTCAGATAGTTTTCGATAAAACATTATCAAGCAAAGAAGATTCCACATAAACTTGATTCCGTGAATACATTTGCAGCATTTGATATTTTTATTTAAGAATCAGACAGTTTAATGTATTTTTTTTTTAATAAATCGACTGGTGAAATACTGAGAGGTTTTAATTGTTCTGTTAAAAAAAATATCACGTCGTGTTCAAATAAAAAAGACAAATATTTCTTTCCTCTTACTGTTTTTTATAACGGCAGTAGCTGAGCGCAGATGTGTATCCGCATTATAAATGAAAATGATGACTATTAAAATTTGCACTATTTAGTATTTACTTACACATATATCAAAGAGAAATCACAGTGTTTTTATTTATAAAATGTTTTACTATAAAACGCTGAATAATGTATAAATTTTTTCTGTAGGAAACGTAATTATTTATAGTGACTCTATAATTTTTCCTCTTTCTCTCTCTTCCTTTTTTTAAATTCTTTTTTTAAAATATTACCTTCCGTTGGTGCTATGTTATCACTGTTGACACTTCTGATGTGCGTTTCCATCTTTCACTTTTTTTTGTAATAGAGAAAATAATCTTAAATGTGTTTACTGCGTTTCTTAAGTCTTGTAGATCACCAGAGAAAAGAAAACCGACAAAAATGTGATCTGGTATTCGGAGCACTTTTTGACCACCATGCGTCAACTGTATTATCGAGATACCGAGGTAAACTGTCGGCAGTATCGGCCACACAACGGTGGCCGTACAATATGCTTAGTGAGACGTCAATGAGAGCAACGAAAAGGTAGAGCAAGCAGCGTCGAAGGAACAAAGAGAAGAATGGAGGTGGCGAGTGTGATGAGAGAAGGGAGAGCGTTTGAGGAAAGAAGACGAAGACTGTTTGTATCAGGGGCATTTCGCGGGCAGGATGAAAAGAGAAACCGCACTCACATGAACGTGGTGTGTGTGTAAGCCATACACACACAATTTCCATTCACCAATCCGCGATCCAGGTATACCCTGGTACGCGTTGAAACGGCATAACACGACGCGCGGTAGCAGACAGTTTTGTAACTTTGGCAAGAAAAATAAATGTCGAGAACTATCTATACTATCTGCGAGATAAAAAACAGAGCTTTCTATTTATGTTTGACTGTATTTACCGGATAGTTTCGATTGTAATTCATAATTCTTTTAATGCGTTATTCTTGTTTCAGATGAAGATCCAGTGCTGGTATAAAAACATTTAGTTAGGAAATCAATTTGTCGATAACGATAAGTTGCATTTAGAGTTTATGATTATTTAATTGGAATCATTGCGTCAAAGTATTAATTAAGTGCTTTCATTGTATTTCTTTAATGTTTCATGTTTATTTCGCATCACGTATGCATATTAACGTAATGAAACTTGATAAGTCCACATGAATCATCAATTTTTCAAACATTGTCCACTTCTATGACGCACGAAAGTCTAACGAAAAGTTGATTTAATAAGCACGTCTCACGTATGATTTAGATTGATAAACAAAACAGATGCCACGCGCTTCAATTACAAACTAAAACTCTCTACATCTGCTTATCATATTTGATAGACTAAACTGACTTTATTTGAAAAACTTGATACAAACAATGAAACATTCGTTGATCATGTTTTTATATTCATGTTTACATCATAAATATAGTTTTTTAGCAACGTCATTAGTTGTGTGTGACTTTTTTTGAATAATTTATTCTCGAATTAATATATTTAAAAAATCTTTCTCAATTATCGTATATTATTGACATTATGTTTATAAAATTAATTTAAGCTAAATGCATTTCTTCACAGTAATAACAATGCAATGGCATCATAAAAAGAAATACAAATTTTAAAACTCAATTGTTTTGTTCTCTGTTCTTTCGAAAAGACTCATACTCGTCGGACCAGAATGTCTATTGTTTTCATGAATAGACATTTATATAATTGCCTACTCGTCGCAAATGTTATACAACTAGCAATCCTATATTACAATGATTCATCTCCCGGTTTTGTAATGCACATAGGACAAATATGCATCCGCACCATGCAAAATTCCCACAACGCCGCTTAATATCTGCAAATGAAAAAAAAAAAAAACATGTTTACTTTTATTATTCTCAAAAAACTTATTTGATGAAAACAATTTTTCTTTTAATGTAGCAAACCTTATTGCTATATCTTTTCTATCTTGCTATAAGCAATAATAACGCAAACTAGTGAAAGCGTTCAATTTGCGATTTGTAAGTACACTAATCAACTTACATAAGCGGCTGTCATGGCAGGATAAACGTCAAAGCCAGGTCTTAAATAATATTCAGTCATTAAGAACAGTTTTGTAGCTAAAGCCAAGCAGGATGCTGAACTTAAATACAAGAAGCAGGCGAGACAGTTGAACATCATCTCCTAATATTGATAAAAGAAAATAAGTATAATTTAACGAATTAGAGAATTACTAAAACTATTTTTCTATAATCGTATATGTTTTACAAAAATTATAATACAAAATAGTACAAAGTTTTCAAAAACATATCTTTATTTTAAGTGGAAAATACTTACAAAAAGAGATGAGCGAATCAATCTGTACGATTTCTCAGAAACCGTATAACAAGCAAGTAACAAAGCGGAAGTCAGGAAACACGCAGACGAAGTGGTCAATGATCCCTCAAAAGCCGAGCCAATAGACGAACTATATCTTAGGCCATAATTGATGAGCAAGCTTTGTATTAATCCACTGATCACCTGGAACATAAACCACTAGATTGTAATTACGCATTGAAATTTCGAAGAGTGGAGTTTTTTTATTACAAATATTTACTGTTTCACAAATTTTTATGATTCCTGGCAGTGATTTAAAGAATTCCACGTGTATACACGTGCAGCATCTGAAACAGCAGCAACCAACACCGCCTGCGCCGTGTGTTCCAGAAGAAGACATCCGTATTATCGGTCCTGCATTGTTCACACCCATTTTTGTCGCAGATAATGAATTTACTGCACGTAATTATATCTCGAGTTGCGACGCTCGTCAAACTGCTTTGTTTATATATGACTCCGTCAGTGCTTTTAATTCTTCCGCTAATTATAAGTTTAAATATGATTCTCTCTTTACCTTTCTTCTCAATTAAATTTGTTTTCACAATAATTTTTGTACAATGTAGATGTGCAAAACAATTGAGATGTATTCTGAACTTTTACTAATTTTTTACAAAGAATTTTAAGAAAGCACCGAGTACGACCATAATCGTTGAGACTTTTAAAAGGACTGAGAGTAAGGGCGTGCATCCGCACAGTTTAAATGTCGTTGCACCCCCCGCATAGCGTTCGACGCAAGCAAAAATTGCTGTCTATTTCTGGCACGTGCTAGGAGCACGTTTTGTTGTCGGCTTCCCCGCAGCTAGAAGGAAACACAAAAAAATTCGGAAGAAGAGTAACAACATACAATATATTTTGTAATTATAATTGTCAGTTTGACTCACAATAAAAATAAATTAATTAACATATAAACAATCTAATTAGAAACAATTATGTGCTTAAGAAAAATTTCGAGACACTTTAATATAATAATAATTACAATCTTAATTTATCTTAATTATATTAAATAAATTGCAAATCAAACAATTTTATAAAACTGGATTAAAATTAAAAACATAAAGAAATAAAATTATACAAGACATTTTATATACGTACAGTAGTCAATGCTTGAACGTGAACTGATAAAACAGAAAGCTGCACTTAACTTTACTCATCATATAGTAGTAATCTGTAATGTCGATTAACTTGAACACGTGTAATAAAGATTTACATGTAGTTATTTATTTATTTTATAATATATTATAACTATTTATTAAATATAAATAGTTTATAAAATAAATATTTATGCATATATTTCAATATATTAAGTAGATATTAAGTATATATTAAGTAGATATATATTTTGCAAAAATATATTAGAGTCAAAAATCACACAATTATTCGCTATATAAAGACTATATAAAGTGTAAATGGCACATATAAAACACGTACAATAAGAATTTCACATATAAGTTTAAGTAATGTAGATATCGCACAATTTTTCTCACTCTTGCTGTAGCATTCTATTTTATTTACAAAAAGTAGAATTCTTCAACATGAACATTTTTATATATGTTTATGACTACAATGAACAATATTAATGACATTGAATAAACGTTTTAATTTCGCAATCTATTCACACATGTACACATATAGGCCAATATTTATATAAAAATACAAAGTATGCGAATACTATCAATTGACAAAAAACAAAAATAAAATGAGTGAAAAATTAGTCTGCATCACAAAAAAATATAATTTCCTGTCGCTCTGTTTTTCAGCATTTATCAAAGTTTATATCTGACATTACACAAAATTCGTTGTACAGTTAAATCAAATTCGTAAAATATGTAAATTTACGTTTTATAAATAAACAAGTAAAACCTATGTATAATAAGCTTGTAATTTGCTTTTTAAAAAAGTCACGAATGCATTTGACCGTTCAAAGACTTCTGTAACCGCGAAGAGCGATAATCGTACTGACGAGATACAAAGCAGTGTTTATGAGACCACAAATCTATAAAGAAAAATTACTGTTATTTTTATCACTTAAAATATAAATTTATATAATTATAATAAATGTAAGGTATATTTATTCACATCTAATAGACTATATTTTAAGCTTATAATGATAAGTGTTAAAACTAAACTTTAAAAAGATCAAATCTAACAAAAATATATGTAAAAGATTTGTTAAATCTGCAGTGCATATTGAATTTTTTACAAATGTAAATTTTGCTACTTACAGAAGCGCCTAATACCAGTTCATATCTGTTACTTCGATGTTTATAATAGTTATTAACGTGTATTATTAGCGTCAAAGATGCTGCCAATAATAATCCAAATGCAATGGAATGATAAAGGAGTTCCTGAAAGAAATATGTATATCAAGTAAAATAATAAATATGCAATGTATCTAATATAGTAGTGAGTTAACTAAAGTTTGAACTTACATAAAGCGATTTTGATAAAATAGTTGCGGTAGAAAGAGACAGTAAACAACTAAGAAAAATAATAAACGTGCCAATCAAAAATGCAGAAGTTGTAACGAGGAAGAAACATTCTGGCGTGCCTAAATAGTACGTGTAATATGTAAATTCGTTTCCGATAATTCCCACGCATACTATACCAAACGCCTGTTGAAAAAATAAATATTTATTAGAAACGCAGAATTTGTGCGTAAATTTCTTAATCAAAAATAAAAGTATACATATATTGTTTATATTATAAAAATATCAGTGAGATACTGAAATTTTTTAAACTGTTATTATCGTTTATTTATTTAGTTTTAGTTTCTTAACAGACGTTATCATTATTTTTGTATTATGTTTTTGTGTACCAGAGTTTTTTGTTTGAATTACTAATTGAAATGATTTTGAATTAAAATTATTGCGGCGCATGTGTCCGGCTACAATCTAAAGCAAAAATAACTGCTGATAATTTGTTGTATTAAAGTTAAGTTACGTAAGACGTGCCATATACTTTTTACAAAATTAGCACACCACAGGCGCGCGCTACGTGCACGCTATTGTTATTTTTATTTAACGTGTTGTCAGTGAACACAACCTGTCACCGCGATGACAGATATACGTCTTATAAACCATATAATACACATATGAGAAATGTCAGAAATAACGCATGAAAATCAAACTCAAAAAATAGTGAGAGAGAGAAGTGGAAAAACAACACGTGACTAAAGTCACTTGACAGGGAAAAGGGTAGAAAAGAGAATATTATATATATTATATATATTATATATATGTAATATTCTATATCTATATATAATACACACACATACGCATATATGTGTGTGTATATATATATATATATGTATATACCGTAATCACGTGACCGAAGTCAGTAACACCGCCGCGGTCGCGCGGCCGAGGTCAGTGACTCCACCGCAGTCGCGCGACCGAGGTCATTG